ATTCTCTAATGAGAAATTTTAATAAATGCAATCCATAAAGCACTTCTGGCTAATTACATTATCCTGGCTCCTCCTATTTATCTCCATCTGTTAAACTGCTTTAAAAGGCAATTAAATTGTCCTTTGAAGTTAGAATGCTTTAAAAGGTAAAAAATACTTCGAATACTTTCCTATCTCTCCTTCTCATGTAAACAAGTCTTTTAGATAGCTGAATTGATGTTGTGCTATTAGTAAGAGAGTGTGTAATCATTTGTGAGGTTCTGTTCCATAGAGATAGGCAAGAAGTAGACTATATCTGTTGGGGATCGTTTGGTCCACACTGTTAAAAAAATTGAAAACTATTACTTTAGTAAATGCAAATCTGTGCTGCTGTGCTTGGGTTATAAGTGCTGTTTAGCACTGTGATTCTACTGAATTTATGGAAACTACACTTGATTTGCACCAAATAGGCAATAGAAATAAGGCCCAAGGTTTGTTATTCCTTTCAGCAAGACACCTTAGCTGTTGTACTGGCTATAAAGCTGCTTATTATTTCACACAACTTTAATAAAAAAAAAAAAAAGAAAAAGAAAGTAGAGCTGAGTTCATATGGGATCACAGATAAATGATGCATCCTTTCCAAATCACTCTTTCCAAGCAATGTATTCTTATGATAGCTTCATTAACTTTGGCGCAATAATTTGCAGATAAATTCCATCCAAAAAAGAAGCAAGTATTCAAGCACTGCTAATAATGTGAATTAGATTTTTGCACATTAAAAATGTGATAAAGCCATACTAATTATTTTTAATTATCTCGAGATAAAAATACGTCACTCATGTAAGTAATTATGTAAGTAATTTAAACCTGATTAAATAATAATGATTCCTTGCTCATTGCCTTCAAAGTGCTTATAACCAAATTTAATTTTAAGCAGGATCAAGAAAATAATCACTTGATTCGAGCATTAATTACTAATTTTAATTCTAATTCATTAAAAACAGACCTATTTTTTGCAGACTCTGCAGGGCATTGACATTTTGCAAAATGAGTCATTATTTTGGCATGGCGAAGTATTTTTCAAATGATGAATCATGACTACCAGAAGGGATTGTGAAAGAGCTCCAAGGGAGCTTCAACTTCTTAGAAAAAGCAGCCCTGTTTAGCAGCAGTGCTCTTCCTCCAGGTTGTGACTGGAGAAGGATTTGTAACTCAGCTGGTCATGTTAGCTAGGGAGCTGCTAACTACCTTTAATTACTGGCAGTAGGGGAGCAAGCAGGAGATAAACTGGCCTAAAGCAAATAGCTTTATCGAGACCAACTGGTACAAGGTAGGAGACAGTTTAAGTCAGTTTAGAAATGTAAAAATCAGGTGTTTGATAAAGCTTCACTTCCAGTCAAGTTGGAAATGGATATATAATGTAAGCAGTTCATTCAGGAGTTCATTCTGGAAGGTGTAGCCTTGCTTCTGTAGGACTGCTTTTTTTTGTTAGTGGTGGTTGGGTTTTCTGTTTGCCTACCTAACCTCCTCTGTTAAGAAGTGACTGCAACACCCTCCAAAAGAATTGCTGGTTAAGCTTTTGGATTATTCATTCCTTTGGGAAAGGATTACCTTTTTGATATGTAACTGTAAAGAGTTTAGCCTAATATCTATGTGGCCCTATCTGATAAATTAAGAAAAAATACATTAATATGGCAGTAATTTTTCTTACAGTAGGTTTTAAGCCCCATGAGGACTAGTGTAATTGTTGTCTAATGCACTGAACAGTACAACCTATAGGTTTCACTGCTCTTTTCTACAGCTAATTCAGTAGCTCATTTTTGCTCACTCAAATTATATGCTTTGTAAGTTCCAAATGATCAGAACAACTCCTCATAAGGGATTTGACCAACATTTTATCAAGCTTACTTTTGAGAATGTTTCCTGATGTTCAGCTTACATTTTTTACACTTAGCAGTATCATCCTTCTCATGCTTTTTCTGCTCAGAGAACTCATCTTAATCAAAGAACTGGACACTGCTTCTGCTGTTGAAAATCAACAGGACTACAGTTTTGACAAGTTATCATTTCAACTCTGAACGAAAACCAGAAAAAAGGTAACTTTTTTTCTCTTTTTGTTCTATATGGAAGGTATTATTTTGTGCTGACTTAAGGTGCTGTCAGCCATTCACCAAACCTCAGAATAAGGAGAACATAACTGCAAATAGAACCTGAGATACTCAATGCAGCAAACCCATTGTCCACACATCACATTTCTCTGTATATGTGTAATGACCTGAAATAGAAAAAAACAATTTTATTGAATGTAGTGATGTAGGGGATGAGCCACGTTCCTGGAGTAACTGTCATCTGCAGTTTAAACAAGAAAACCATGATGCATTAGTTAAATTGTCAGACTTAACAGAAAGAAAAACACTGAAGATTAAGGCCATATGTCATCTGTAGCAAAAAAACTGCCTAGCGTAATACAGTGTACAGGTGGAGACCGGGCACAGACAAGCATTGTGTCTTCCTTCCAAAATTTCCTCCTGTATACTTGTACCCACAGGAGGTGGGCAGTGCCTGGCAGATGTAAAATCTGGTTCTGCCTACAGTGGAAGTTTGGAAACAAATGGTCTCAGGGGTGCCCTGCTCCTGGCCTGGGTGGGCTGCAGCTGCCTCCCTGCTGCTGTCACAGCAGCTGCAGAGCTGGGGCAGACAGCAAGCACAGCTTCTCAGCAGGCCTTCAGCACTGTTTCTTTGGCAAGCTCAGCAGCAGCAGCATGCCCCTGGATGAACTGCTGTAACACGTAGCTGTACAAGGAAAAAGGGTTGTCAAAGACGTTCTAGAAATTGTTCCAATTGCTCTGAACTGGGGTTATTTACTCTTTTGTCCTGTTGATCTAAGAAGGCAGACTTCTTCACACCACTTCAGTGCAAGTCATAGGTGTGGCTAGTACTGGTACTACTAGTACAAGGTACTACAAGTACAAGCTCTCATATTTAAGCTTCCCTGGTGGTATTTGTTCTTTGTTCAAGACAACTTATGAACCCAGGCCAGCAAAATGCTATTAGGATTCCAAGGCAAAGAACTGGCACAGTCACAGTCTTTGCCCCTCACTTCTGAACTGTAACATGAAAAAACTCAGACATTTTAGTTCATCTTCAGTGAGCAAGCAGCTTATTCCTTTGTCAATGACCAGCTGATTGCCCAGGTAACTGGGATCAAATGAGAAAGCAAGCTGGTCAAATTCACCGGGGAAGAGAAAAGGAACTTTTTTAAAAATGATGCTGATTAAGTAGAAAATGTAGATGAAGACGGAGAGGGCTCTTAGACTGATGAACGTTGGACTAAGAGTCTTAATGTAGATCTGTGAGATTTGCACCTTTCATGATCTGTATTACCCTCAGAAAGAAAGTTTACTAGTTTAGTTCTCTGTTCCTTAATTTGAATTCCTAGTGCCCACTTACCTTAATTTTCCTTTTCTTACTATGTAGGCTCTTTCTATAAAAATAGCCTCTGAAGCAGAAAAACTCTCTCTCAAAACTTGAGGAGTGACCACACTTGTTAGTGACAGAGAACAGATGTGCACCAACTTCCTCATTCTTTGACAGCTGTCACTTTCTGTAATATAAAATACTGCTTGGACAGCAACTCATTATATATTGCTTCTATCTATGGCACATTGACTTAGTTTGTTTTTCTTTGGTTTCTGTCCCAGTGTCATATTCAACTGCTGTAAAGCTGAAACGTGTCTCTAGGCCAGGAGTTGCGGAACCAGCAGCACACCTTTAATTTTCCTGCAAGTGCAATGGAAGTCAAACCATCGTTAAAACCAATGGAAAAAACTAGAAGCTTGTTCTTGCTTTGTAATGTGCAGGATACTAGACTTGGAGGATGTAGAGAATTCACCAGTGTAATTTTGTGTAAGAACCAAAACCTAACTTAGCTCACCATGCAATAATGGGACAAAACAGATGTTCTTTTTTAGGGCAAAGGAAGCCCCAAACAAAACTCTTCTTGAATCTGGCTCTGACAATGTTTCTCTTTATTACTAGGAACAAAAGGAAGCCCAAGTCACTGTATCTTGATCAGAGGCACCACTGAAAGGATTTAACTCTTATGTTACTCTCTTCTTTCTTGGAAAACCTGTTGAATGCTTTCAGGTTTGCAGACTTTGTGTCTGCAGTAAGTTCTTTTAGAAAACAGGATCTCTGCCTAAATGCAAGCCCCTAGATAGACAAGAAAATGGCAAGAGTTCCCATGCCAGAGATAGCTGAGAGCACTGGCAAGCTAAGTGTATCAGAGGCATTTAGGGGTAGAATAAGGTGATGTGGTGAGGCTGGCTGGCTGTCCAGAACTTCCTCGTGCAAACTGATGGATTGCCAGGCATTTGATGCAGTACATACACCATGGAAAATAGTAAATGTTGTCCCCCATTTTGATATTCTGAGTAAGTATCAGAACATATAATTCTGAGTTCAGTGCTCTGAGGGAAGACTCAGGATCTTTCTTGGTTTCAGGGTCAAAGAAAGTTTTAGATGCTCTGTTGTGGGAATAAAAGGCAGCAATGCATTGTCCTGGCTCTAGTTTTTGCCTTTCTTTTTGCAGAGGAAGGGAAAGAGATCTAGTTCCTTAGTCTGTGACCTATAAAGACAGAATACAGTTTGCAGACAGTAGGAAAGAGCTCTTTTAATTGTTCCACGTCCCACAAAACAAAATGGACTTGACCTTCAAATACAGTTTTCCATTTACTTTCTCACTCTTCATGAAGTCCAATGGTTTCTGCTTAAACAAGCAATAGCCCAAGTAATTTTAAAAACCCAACATTAATGTTCCTCATTCAGGTATCTTTCAACCATCCAAACCCAAGAGGAGTGCTCTGAATCCTGTCTGATAGAAGACCCATCATTATGACCATCTGGGCAGTGTTCTCTGAGTGACTTGAATTCAACTCTGACAGACACAGAGCATACAGTATACCAAACACACACACAGGAGTAATACCAAAATGACAGCATGGACTAGACAATACAACACAAAAAGTTGAACAAATTATATTAAGACTTTTTTCTTAATGCAGGATACACATGCTTAGTTAAAAATACAGAACATGAAGAAAAATATAACACTCTATTAGTATACTAGAATCCCTCAAACATAACTGGAAAAAAACTCTCAAATATTCTGTACATTTTTTTCTTTTTACAAAACATTTGAAAATGCCAGTCCAATGAACTGATATAAAAATATCATCTCAGAACATTTTTCCTAAAGCCATGTAAAGGTCTGGTTTATGCAAAAACATACTGTACAACTTGTGTCACTTCAGCATTTCCCCCCTGCCCAGATGAGGTAATTGATCTTAGGTGCAAAATGAGCTGTAGATGCAGTAATGTTTTATCAGTCTTGTTCCTGTAGCTGATCATCAGTTATCTTTCAAAAGCCTTTTAAATTTGGTCTAACCTATGGTCAGAGTAGTGTGGCCATTGCTACCCTTTGTAACAAGACTAAAAATAAAAGCCTTTCAGAAGTCTTCTGTCCTCTGCAATGAGTTATGTATTCTATACTTACTGTACTAGTGCAGTGATTTTCATCTTGTGGTCTTATCTCATCTAGACATGGCCATGAAAACTCTGAAAACCAAACCTGTTGTTCTAAGATAATTGATGTCTTTTGTCTTTAAATCAGCACTGAAGGGTGGCCTTGAGAATAAAAAGGAGTAACCAATGGTGGTACAGGTACTAACAAATTTTTCTTCTGGTACACTTGATTGATTGCAACAGAGAATCAGAGCCTGATTCTCACAGTATACAGAAACATTGACAATTAGTAGGACCTGGAATAAACAGTATTATATGTGTGCCAAACTGTGCGATAGAAGAAATGGGCTTAACAGGGACTATATGGAAATCCAAAATAAATAGCCTATTGCCAAGACCATATTTTAAAAAGATTATTGATTTACCATTCACTTATGTTCTGAATTCTGATATTCATCAAATCAAAGATAGTAACAGCTACTGATAAGGAGCCTGAAGAAACTTCATACGTAAATGTGTTTTTTTTTGTCCTAAAGGAAAACAGGTATGGTAAAGTAGGTTCCCTGATGGTGTGTATAAATATATGGTACTTCTGATTCCTGAAATGGAGCAGAATGACAAATATGCTCAGTTGTTTTACCTCTAACCAAGTGCTGTCAAATAATATACCTACGGGAATTAAATGCAGAGGTTTCTTTATGTGTCTTTGTGATGTTTATCCTATTTTTCTATCCATCTTCCTGTTTTTAAAGTCACTAGAACTATATTATATATGTAAAGCACTCCATGTTTTCAAAACAGCTTACAACTCCCAGTTTTGAAAACAGGTTAGTTTTTCTCCTTTGACTCTTCACAGTACAGTGGTAAGAAAATTTCCCTCCCCAAACTGAAGCAGGAAGGAAAAGTGAATTGCTTGTTACAGCAAAGGAAGTTAGTTGGGAACAGTGAGACAGAGACCTCAGAAAGCCATGGTTTAAGGGCACGAGAAGGTCTTCTGTTTATATTAAGTAGAAACACTCCTTCAGTGATGAAGTGGAGTGATGTTGTGACAGTACCATCAAACCTGCTGTATGGTATGGTATTTAACATGTATGGTATTTAATAGAAAACAAAAATGATTTCTGCATACAGAGACAGCTCAGAGCCCAGTGGCATGACAATGGTTTCTCAGTGCTAATCAAAGCCGGGGCTCCCGCACTACGTACAGAGCAGAAAAAGCGTGCTGTTTCTTCCCTGTTTAACTTCTGCAGGTTTGTCTTACTTTGAACCTCGTATTCTAACATTGTAGGTCTACGCTATACTTAGTAGTTTTATATACAAATTGTACTGGATAATTTGATTAATCTCTGATACCTTATCAGTAAGCCTATGCACTATGCTTTTGTGAATAAGATAGCTTCACGAGCTGTTTGTTAAGTTTTTGTTGTTCTTTTTTTTTTTTCCCCTTTTGCCATTGACCAATGACCAGCTTAGCAGCTGTGCCAGACACTCGTAATGCCAAGCAGTATGACAGATTGTACTGTGTGCACTGTTACAGAGCCAGAAGCGTTTCAAATTATTTTTACATTGAAATTCTTGTTGTTTTCACTTAGTGTTTTATATCCTAAATCACTTCAGACCCATGAAATAATTAGCACTGAAAATATTCCCAAATAGCAGAGCAGTGAGCTTTTAGCACCACTTACTGATAAGAAAATGTGATAGAGGCAAAAGGATCTGCCAGAGCCCAGGTGAATTTTTCTTTTCAATATTTCTATTCTGAAAGGACTTGTTGAGACATCTGTCCGAATCTGTGGTTTCTCATCTAAAAATCCTTCTAGTTCAGTCTGCAAATAAGTACTGGCATTTGAAAATGTCTAATGCTCAAAGACTGCTAGGCCTAGACTTGAACTTTCTGCTTTGCAAATGCTATAGACAAAACAGGGCAAAGCAGGGCCTGTTTCTGGCTCCTGTCACAGACACATACAGAGCACACAGCCTTTCCTGACCCACCCAGAGAGGCTCTCCTGTTACTCTAAACACTGCTGCTTACAGGTTTTTCTAAGTTTTATGAGCACCTTTGTAAAAGTGCTGGGGTTTTGTTTTGTTGTTAGCTTTTTGTTTGCCTTTTTTTTTTTTTTTTTTTTTTTTTTTTTCAGATTCTGATTGGAGAAGTTTTCTAAGGTTCAAAACAGTTCTCAGCTAATATTTATCCCCAATTGCTTGTATTCCTTTTTGTCTCTTTGGCAGTGTTTAGGTTTAGACTGAACTGCCTTTACTTTTCTTACAATGCCTTCTTCTAAAGACAGTCGATGTACAGTACCTCAGGCTAAGGAAATCAAGCTCTTCTACTCTTAATTGCAGAATTGTATCCACTTTACCGATACCATTTTAGTGTCTTTTATCAACATCTAGCCATTCAATTCACCATTCAGTAGTCACCATCTCAATTATTTGGTGACTACAACTGTACATGGCTGTCCAGCTAGGAGCCCAGCAGGCCTTTACACAGTGTCTTGAATACTTCTCAACTGGAAACCTGTCTCCTGGTGCAGGCTGAGCTTTTATGATAATTGTATTGAATCTAAGTCATCATCTGACAATCTCTATAACCAAGGTCATTTTATTTTCAGTTAACAAGAAATACAGCAAAATACTTTGTTTAATCTTCAACTGCATGTGCTAGTATTTGTACTATATAATTTCATCCCAGTCAATTGCTTGTCTTCCAGGGCTATCTTTGTGTGTGTCCTGAATCTTCTCTAGCTTAGTGCCACATCAAACCCAGTCTGGTAGCATATCTGCTTCGGTGATTAATGAATATGTTAAATCTATACAGTTACAAAACTGACACATAAGAAATTCCACTTGCAACCCCCATCCAACTCCCACTTTCTTTTCAGTGTTTCCTTCTCTCCTTTAGCCAGCTGCTTATACACCTCATACTCATGCTGCTAGTTTCCATTTTCTCCATCTCAACTAAGTTTTCCACATGGCAATGTATCAGACGCGTCAGCTCTATGAAATCCCCACTTGCTAGGTTGTGGTAGGCCTGATTCTTATTTTGCTTTTAGCCGTGGAAATTCTGCAGACCTAATCCACTCTTTTAACTCGCAGGTTCATTTGTGCATTGCCTGCTTTTTGTCTTTTTCCTATTTCAATCTGTTTTTTGCAGCCCTGGATTCCAACATAGCAATTTTGTAGCATCAAAACAGTTTTTCTTTTCTACTTTAATATGAAGTCTGCAGTAAAACCACATCTGTAGCTGCACTGCACAAACAGGAAGCGTTTAGCACCATGCTGCCAGCTTGAGCTGGTGTACTGGGTCTGGCTGGGATGTTAACCCACCACAGCTGGTATCAAAAACTACTTTTCCCTTACAGTTTGAACTTCTCACTGCTCAATAGAAATATCAGATCGAACTTAAAATGTTAAATAGAACTTAAACACTAAGAAAATCAAGAGTATAACAGAAAAATAAGATCATATCTTCTTTCCTTATAATATACATCAACTTTTAATAATAAAAATACTTCTATCATGTTTTCAATAAGAATAACATGTACATTTCAATGTAAAACAGTACACAGTGTAAATGCCCTTAGATGCTCTTCTATGCATCTTTAATGTCTACAATGACTACATAAATGTGGGCAAGGATCCTCACCAGGCTGTACAGATTGCTGCAGTTCCACTGAACAGAGCTGATGTAGACAAAGCGAGGATCTTGGTATATGTGTTCTTTTTGCTTTTAGGTGTTCCTACAGTCCTTATTTTGACCATATTAGGTAGATTTTAAGTTGAGAATTCAGTAGAGAAACATCCATTTCTTCTTCAAACAGCAAAGGCCGAGAATAACTCTTGCAAAATTGACCAAAAAATGAGAAAGTGCATTGAAATAATGCTCTGCTCATGTTACTGCAGTACAAAATGGTTACTCTAGTAACAAACCCCTGTATCTGACAGCTGGCTAATGATGGGTTGCCCTAGTTCCCTGCAACAAGTTACTGTAAGTCAGAGGAAATAATTAAAAATGTTCCTTCCCCAAAATGATTTCAGTCTGTGAGTCACAAAGAAAATACTTTAAAGAATCAGAAACAAGGTTCAGAACAAGCTGCATCCCCAAACTTGTCATAAGCTGTTTTGTGCTGATGTGTAAATTAAAAAATTAAAAGACCTTCATATCCAAATTGAAAGGGTCTGATTTTAATTTAAGATTTGAATTGGTTGGGATGTTAATAAAAGTAACGCAGCTAAAACACAAACAACCTCAGAAATAATAAGAATAATTAAAAAAAAAAAAAAACAAAAAAAACCACCTTTAATCTTGTAGAATACACATCACTGTAAAGCGCTTCTGGATCTGCTAACAATGAACTGTTTTAAATGAGACTGTGGAGAAACAGAGGAATGGTAAATATCTTATACACCTGCCCACTGACACCTGCTACAATTGAAATTTGTTAGGGATGGGTGGTCATATTAAGGCACTCCAAAAGAACACTATTTCTGTCCTGAGACTGCTGACATGTTTCAATTAGTTTCAGCCAGTAATTTGGAAAAAAAATACTGTGCTTAGGATAACACTGACAGAATGGAGAACAATTTTTCAAACAAGAAAAAATAAAGTACATTATATACATGATTCCTTTTTTTTCTTTTAACTTAAAAGCATCCCTAATACATCTTAATAACTGTATTAAAGACTACTTAAATATTGAAAGATTTTAAATAATGTAGACTTCTTTTCAGTAAACTGGGAGTAGCTGTTTAATTGCCAGCATATTGGTCCCATTTTAAACAATATAATTTTTATTTAAATCTTGTATATATAATAACATGATCCAAAACACATATTCTGCTCCACATAAATAAGTATAGTTCTTCTGACTGGTTTTAAAAACTACATCTGTTCAAATAATCAGATTATAAGACTGTATTTTTCCTTTGTAAAGTTTCCTTTAAAATCTTTCACTCCAATCTCTCCCCTTATATACCACTGTATTTCCAGAGCACATAATAGGGCATTAGTAAAAAGAGTTAATCCAAAACCTGAAAGCTACAGTAAGTAACATGAAGTAATGGTGAGAAGTATTATGGAATGTATACTCTGCAGCATAGATTGGTTCTCACTTGGCTGAAGTGGAAAATGACTCCAGAAGAAATTCTTTCTGTTCGTATCTCAATAAACCATAGATTGTGCTATTTGTTGTTCCAAAGTGCAGGTCAGTACATTAAAAAGTGGTGTTTGTGAAGCTACTGCTCAAGGCCACTGACCAAAATGAGGCTGGCAATTAAATGGATGCCAGATACAGTACAGGGAGAGAGAGAGGTGTCTTTCTGGATTTTCTTAACCAATCCATACCTTTAAGTCCACAACTTTTAGGTGGCAGCACAAACAAGTCATCAGTAAAACTGCGCTTTCTTGATGCGTAATTATCATTTTTCCAGGCATCTAGCAAATGGCAGTAACATCCCTTTTAGTTCTGTGGTCTTTGTTTCAAGAATTTCTTCGAGAAGTCAAAGCCATACAAGAATCCCTGTATGTGCTGCAGGAGTTCAAAGACAGATTCTTGGTGCCTGGATCCAGCACGTTCACCTCCGACTACATCAGAGCACCATCTCTCCTCTCGTTTCAGCGCCGTCAGTGTTAGTTAGCGTGAGTCCTCAGACAGGGCTGCTTGTTGTTGAATGTTTGAATGATGCCACAACGCAGATGCCTCTCTTACTTTTATAAATCCCCATCTGTAGGTGGCTGGCACAACCTGTAGAGTCTTTAAGGCAGATTAATAGTACGTTATTAAATGTCATAAGACTGATAACACAAAGTTACTGGCATAGTATACAAGAGTTAGCTTTTCCTTTACCATTCTGCAAGCTTTATAAGTAATCCAATATCAAGAATTCTACTAGTCTTATTCTTCATAATTGCAAATACAAAAGTGTTACTAGTGATTTATTAACTACATTATTTACCATCATTGTTTAAGGACTATTTGAGACATTCCAACACTCCTTTTTAACTTTGGCCCAATTCAGGTCTTCAGCACTCCCTTTCTTTTTCTATTTCTTTTCTTTTAAACCAGTTGGGGTATAATGGGGGACGATGGTTAAACCTAAGTGCATCTTGATTCATATGGGTGTGGTAGTATTTTCTACATTATATTTGAATAAAATCAAGGTAACAGGTCTTTTATAATTTCCCTTTCAAGACTGCTACTATAGAGTTTGACAAATCTTGAAAGATGATACTGAGAATTGAAGTTAATTCACCAGATCTTCCTTTAACTTTGCTCAGTTTTATTTCAAATAAAAGGGGTAATTGCAGACTTATCCTTCACGGATGATAGAACCCAGTAGGAACATACGTATTTAAGCTTTATTGCCCTGAAATAATCACAGAACCACAGAATTTCTAGGTTGAAGGAGACCTCATGATCATCGAGTCCAACCTCTGACCTAACACTAGCAGTCCCCACTAAACCATATCCCTAAGCTCTACATCTAAACGTCTTTTAAAGACTTCCAGGGATGGTGACTCCACCACCTCCCTGGGCAGCCTGTTCCAATGCCTAGCAACCCTTTCGGTAAAGAAGTTCTTCCTAACATCCTAACCTAAAACTCCCCTGGCACAACTTTAGCCCATTCCCCCTCGTCCTGTCACCAGGCATGTGGGAGAACAGACCAACCCCCACCTCGCTACAGCCTCCTTTAAGGTACGTGTATTTGCTTGGTATGCAAGCAAATAATCCTGGAATTTGTCATTGTAATGTAGTGTGTATGCCAAAACAGAGAATTGTCTCATTTTTCTTTGTAAAACTGTTAATTTTTAAACATAGCATGTTGTTACAGTCATAAAAATGGAATCTAAGTCATGTAGGTCATTGACAAGGCAAAATAAGCATGCTGATAGAATGCTGATGTGTGACACTGGCAACATGGTAGAAGAGCCAACCCAGACTACTGTTTTATTCCTTTTTGAAATAACAATTACAACCCAACAGAAGGATAAGGTTGTAAATGCCCAATATGTTTCCCTTTAAGGTCTCTGAAAAAATAAACCAAAGGCAGACTGCTACAGTAAGCACCATGACAGTCTCTAAAGTAATTTCCTATAAACATTTTGAGGAGCAGATAGCTCTGTCTGAAGGGATGGCAAAGACTTTACTAGATCTTTTCTGATGCCAATTCGTGCATGCTGGAATGGAACTGTTTTGCTTGCTTCGTGTAAACAATGCCATTAACAAGAGTAGAGGCACAGGTTACTCTGATATTTGTACAAACTGATTCTGTGCAAATATTAATCTGAATCATGGGGATTTGTTATGACCATTGTGTGCAAATGCTGCGGTACACTTTATTAAAAGATCATTCTCTTCTCTCCAACATAATGCATTTGGAGCAAATAGGCCAAAAAGATACTTCTCTTAAAAATAAAGATGCTCTTAGAAAGTATCCTGTAAAGAGAGGTGCTGAACATCTCTAGCTCCCATTAGGTGCAGTAGGATTACATATGTATAGTGCTTTCCAAAATCGTCTTCTAGACAAAAGCAGCATACATAACCCTGGGCAATCAGGGTCTTTCTTAGAGCTGCATTACTGTATGGTTGGCTACCCAGGGAAGTGCTGGAGTCCCCATCCCTGGAAGCCTTCAAGAGACATCTGAACATAGCATTAAGCGATGTGGTTTTAGTAATGGGACTCAGTAGATCAGGTTGGACTTCTGATGATCTTGAAAGTCTTTTCCAACCTAGATGGTTCTCTGCCATAAATACAGTCAAGATATTCTAAGCACACAATAGGACTGCAGCCAAAGTACTAGCTTATGAATTATGTTTGCATATCTACAGTCAGATTTACTAGTCAGGATTGTTTTTCTCAGCATTCAACAGATGGCTGTCAATTGCTAGCTTTTCCAACTCATAGCAATGGTCCAAAAAAGACCCTTATCTCTGTTCAGTGATACTTTATTTAGAAAATGCAGAAACCTTTGAAGTTAATGATCTGCCAGTTATAACAGACAAAGCTTGTTAAGCTACAGAGCACACTTTAGTACAATGAGAAAGAACTTTTTTTTTTCTGCTATTGCTAGATCTTTGGTTAGAATAGGAGCTCCACAACTAATACAGGAACATAAAACAAGCACTCAGATAACATGCATAATACATAATAACTTACCGGGGCGCACATGGTGGCATTTGGTCCATCACTTTCAGATTCTTGGCAGAGATTTCAACCCTTGGTCCCTAAAGAAAACAGAATTTATGGTACTGACAATGATAAAGCATCTCGTCCTTAGGGGAAAATATTATAATGGGACTATGTTTTCTATTTGAGAATCCATTAACTACCTCTAGAAGATTTGGAATCCACTGGGTACATACATTAGTCATCTGTGTTTACTTAAAAGATAAAATTAATCCCAAAGCACTTTACAAGCACTGCTGTCTACCACTAGGGAGTTTCTACAGTTTAACACTGATTGAGACTTCTGCTTTTTGTATTTACAGAAATTGTCTTAAACATACTTGATAGTCTCTACTTTCTAACCATCAAGGCACACACTTTAAATAATGTGCATTAAGGCATATATTTTAATTGTTGTAACGGCTCTACATGCAAAAGCATTGTGTCAGAGATGTAAAGCTGTACAGACATTAATAGAAGTTTGGCTATATGAGTTTGTACTGCACAAAATACAGTGCCATAGTGCCATAGGGAAATAAATTGGTGTTTGTGCTATGATATTACAGGAATTAAACTGGTGGCTTGCCACAGACACATGTCCAAATACTTACTTGCTTTCGCATGATATCTGTAGCTTGCATAATACACTTGGGCAGAAGTCCATGACTTCGAGCCAGTATGGCTGCTTGCTCCAGGGACACACTCAGTGTACTTCTGAACATGGGAACAGGAGAGAGGAAATCAAAGAGTGTATTTTAAAATGTACATATAGGTATGTACAGGACACTTACCTGTTAAGTATGTATTTCATTAGCTATCTTTTTTATATTTACAACTTAACTTTTTGAGTTACTAAACTACAATGTAAGCTTAGTCCTGCATTTGCAGTCTCTTTACACTTAGATTCTGCAATTGTGCAGAATCATTACCACAAGATAATGTTCCATTGCTCTTCTATGTGACGTCATGTAAGGATATTCACAAGCAGATCTTTTCTTTACTCACTTGAAGAACAGTGGTGTGTTTGTACACACCAAGATTGTACAGCTATTTCTGAGCAACTTCACACATTTTCAGTGTGTGATTGAAGGTAATATTGACTGAAAGTTACATGAAATGAGCTCACTTAATGAATTGCATCAGTTGATGCACTGAAACAAAGATTACGTGTCAAAACTAACTATTAACAGAAGTATTAAAATTCACAACCTACCCTAAAATAAAGATGGCAGTATATTTAGATTCTTATTATATTCACCTAGCATCTACCTTTGTATTGATTTGAACAGAATCATACATATTGCTCAAATGTCTAGAAAAGACAAAAATTTTCATCACAGCATTAACATGTAGGCTTTTTAAATCTCACCTCTGCATTCCAGTGCCACACATAGTAATCTGACAGGCTCCAAGTCGGTAGCAGAGCTCAGAGGATATAGGTAGCAGGCCAGCTCCTGATATGTTACTGCTTGAATATCCTGACTGGGTGGGTTTTGTATTAATGAAAGACTTCATCAGCCTGCAAAGCTCATCCATTGCATTAATGGGACGAATAAGCTAAACAAAGCAACAACAACATCAACACATAAGTGGCATGTTTACTCCTTCAGTTATAAAGATATATACTATTCTTTATCCTGTGTCTCAGCACAGGACCTTAAATCTACACAAGAGTAACTGCTGCACAGTGACACCTAGAATGTACATGATCTTTAGAAGTAGAAAAATACAAATGATGACTTAGATTTGGGGCATTTTTTTGCAATTACCACAAATCATGTAGCTTGTTTACAATGCATATTACAATTACAAAGTTTCTGATTTGTCTTCACTGCAGTAGTACTTACTGCTTTACAGGCGACTATTCATGTCACCTGTCTCAGTCAGCTTGCCTTTGGATGAGGTGCTGGGAAACACTATTGTCCTGTGGTTTTCTTCTATAATTGTGAACAAAACCTAACTTGTAAACCAAATGTTTGTTCATTTTTCTATGTCTGTGGGAGAGAAGAATTAATTCATTCTGTCTAACACCTAACCTTATTTAGCAGGGGCAATCAGTGTGATATGGAGTCTTACTAATGCCTAAGCTAAGGATTGTGTTTACTCTAGTTACCCACATTTTCTTCAAACAAAAAAACTGTAGCTATGCTCCAGAGAAATTCACATCGCTTCTTTAGACCAAGGAACTTTTTAAAAATTATGTTTCGGTTTGTACAGGTCTACCACATGGGTATCCCATGACTGGGGTTTTAAAAACTGGCTCATGAAGAATTAAAACAAAATACAATACCTGATCAATCTTCACTGCCGTAGTATTGGAATCGGTGGGCAAGTTTGATCTCTCTAGATAAAATGTCCTGCAAAAATGCCAGCAAGGACTACGTTAGTGATTCTAATTTCAAGTATGTATATGTGTACTGTCTAGTACAAAACGTCTGAGAAGACTATGATAGAAGTCTTGTACTTCAAGCTCTGCCTTCTTATTGAAGCATTTTGACTGCAGAAATTTAAACGATCTGTACTGAAATACTCCAAAAATCCTTTCTTATATAATGCTAGTCCTGCACACAATTCTGAAGTCAAATTAGATGGGAATTTCATCCTGTACAGTGCACTACCTCAGAATAAGCTTAACTGTGGGAAGATAATTAACAGGTTTCTCACAAAATGAGGATCTCCTCATTTGTACAAGAATCCTATTTGGACAGGAAATCATCAAGAGTGGGATCTCTTTTTCATGAGTTTTAATGTCTTTAGCAAGGAGCACTCTTTTCAATGTCTTTTAAAGGAAAAGAGAAGTGTAAAATACCTGAGTTTACGGTAGTATTGCTGCACTTTTTCAAGAGAGAGACCATTAATTTGCTGGGGAAGTTCTTCCAGAGGTGAACCAGCTGGTTGTAATTGCCCCTCCATACTCTCCAGAGCTGAAAAAGAAAACATTTTGCTAAGATATTATTATGGTAAATGCAAATGTAGAATGTTATTATTTTTCTTTTTATTTATTTATCTCTACATCATCTCACTGCTCTGCACGTGACTGTTAGATCATGTTGAGGTTAATTCTGTTACTGCATAAATTTAATGAATGTCCTAGTATAAGAATGCAGTGGTATAAAGGTGAGATTCACAGAAAGCAGTTCTGTCTAACAATAATTATAGCCCATTCAAAGACCCTTGATGGATATTTTGGTGTGAATGTTTGCTATCTAGTCAATATTCCTTCATTTCCAGCTCAGATAATTCTGCCATGGTGTATGCTTTTAAAAGGACTTGTTTGTACCCAGGGAACATCTCTTGATACCGTACTAGATCAGACTGTCCATATAGCCCTATATGTCTTTGTGACACGAAGCTTTGCAGGAAGGCATTAAAAAGCCCCAAGCAGACATATCTTGTTCTCATGACTGTGTCTTATTCTAATCTCCATCAATCCTCAGATCTTCCCAGAAAACAACTATCTGCTTCTTAAATATGTCTATATTTTTTCAGCTGTATTATGTTAAGAGTTTCATGGTCATTCTTTATTTTGGATCTTTTAATCTCATCTGTTAGCTTATTTTTCTCAAGAAAGCTTTTTATAGATACCTTTTGTAAATAGCACCGTGTGTAGTTTCAAGCTTCCCCCATTCTGAAACCGAGAAGGCAGTTTGGAGAAGTAGTAGCTGTCAAGATAAAAGATAACCTTCAAGGACTGACGACTTCCTTCGATGTGGTAGAAGACATGAGTATCTGCAGAAATAAAGATAAAACACTTGCTGTATTACCACAGCAGGCCAAATCTGAAACTATTGCTGCCTGAGTTTGTTAGATAATCTGATGACATTTCACATCTCTGCCATTAGATGAATATGGGAGAACCTTTACTGAGAGAAAACAGGTTCTGAAAGATTATCCTTAAAAGATGCAGCTAGCATGATGCTTGATGCCAATACAATAAATGTGGTTAACAATTCCCATCTTATTTTATGGCATCTCATAGTCAGTAAACATGGGGAGAGATCTGGCAAGGTGGGACAGAGGACACAAGAGCTGTAGAGGCATGGTCCTTCTACCTTTTGTAGAATGGTGACTTACAAATATCTGTCAGGAACTGTTCATCATCTGTCTTATCTCCCTACATGTGAAATCATGTCAGGTACACTGACACAGACCTAAATGCCAGAACATGCCACTGGCATCCCATGGTATCAAAATCCTTGCTTTTATGTTGTGTGCTTGCAGAGGAAGCTGAGGGAATGCAACAGTGCTTCAGAGAGGTTGCTGAGTACTCTCCGGGTTTGATGTGGTCTGTTAAGATTTATAATTATGGAAAATGTAACCTATAAAACAAACAAGATAGAAGACCTCCAAAGAAACTGAGAATACTCACTTGCTACAAGACTTTCATCCATTTGCTTGAAATAGAAGGCAACTTTGTCCAGTTCAGTCAGAGTGACCTGGATGTCTTCCAGCATGGTACGCTCCTCCTTCTGTGGGGCAAAGAACCAGATACAAATAAGTCACCATCTGCCAGAAGGAAATCAATAGCAGGACAGTATTGTTGTTACTGGTGTGCTTTGCTTCAGGAGACCTAGAGCAGAACACAAAGCTTTCCACTAACTCCACCCCCCCAAGGTAACTACTGATGGCTCATTAACTTTGTGATACAAGCTTAGCTACCCTTCGCTTGGATGTCACTTGATATGATTCACAGAGAGTAGAGAGGTTGAAGCACTGAATAATTTTGAAGATGTCTCTTTTTCCAATCTTTACCCCATATCTACAAATGTGAAGAGCCTATCAGTTACTGTGAAATAAATGTTCTTACATTCCGCGCAATGTGAAAGAAGAGTTGTTCCACACATTCAATACATGATGTTTTAAAAGTCAAAAAAAAAAAAAAAAAAGACCTCCTCCTTCAACATGGTGCCTTTAGCTTAGGCTCAGATCACTGCACCACAGAATTGTGTGAGAGATACACTTCAGTCCATCTATTCTATAACAACAGTCACCACGTGAACAAAAGTCTAGATTTTCTTGTTTGGAACTCTGAATACTCAGAACTTTTACCTACTTGTTGAAATGTGTGATTTCACCAGAAGAGGGCAGGCCACACATGCTTCAACAACAGCTGAGCAACTAAATGCAGCAACATCACTCCAAATATAAAAGCTTCTGACGGTGCTCTAGTGTGACAGCCACAGTTGCTGCAATGAGAGCCTCAACATGCTGCTTGAACAAAAGGCTCTGGCTGGGTTGTGAGTGGCAGAGCAGCACACATACAAATGTGAACAGACCCAAGGGTGTCACAACTCTTCAACTTACCACAGTGGGGGAGAGCAGAGACTGGTAATTTAGTAAAACACCAGTGGCTGCTATCTGTTCCAGCCATTTTCTGCTGGCATCTCTGCTGCTCTCTTCATATTCCCCATTGTTGTTGTATCGATAGTTGAGAGCAGCCAGTAACTGCTCTGAGAAGGTGCAAATAGCAGCCACAAGAGATTGGCAGAAGATGGAATCACGCCTCAGCTGTAGCTCAGTATCTGCAAGAGAAGAGGAGAGATGCACAAAGTCATGAGAATACTCACTGCTATTGTAGTATGTGTGTGCATAACATTTGACTTCTGCTATAGCTTTGCACAGACATAACAGATAACCTCTTCTTGCTCCGTGCCCTGGCTATAGAGATAAAGACAGCATCAATGGGAAAAAATTGCTGAAAATTTTCCAGGCCACTTGACTCTTTATTTTACTCTGCCATCTGCTTGCTCATTCTTCTGCCTGGGAAGAGCTGTAACTCCTTAGTGCCATATCTGGACTGATTCCCTTCTTTTTATGTTTACAGAAGCAAGAGAATTCATAAAAGAGGATCTCTGTCATTACTTCTCTCCTGGGCTATTAGAGATTCATCTGCCCCTCATCCATCTGTATTTCATGGGCTTCCCATATGCTTAATGCATTAACTGGGCCTGCCAGTAGGGTACCAACTGGTTTATGTTTCCTGGGAGAATTTCCCGTGTTAACTTTGCTTCCAGTCAGGCTGTCAGGCAGCCACATGCTGGTCTAAGCAACCTCGTCATACTTAAGGGGATTGTAGGCCAAACAGGAACATGAATAAGTGAAGAGCTACTTCCCAGGCTCCTCCAGCAGGCACTGCAGTGTTCCCAAGAGAAAGAAGCTGAAGACATCATTCAGAGGCTTTGAAGATCTGGATTATTTTTATGGAGCACTGACCACAATAGACTGACCAATAAAGTCTAGGCCCTGGGCCCTATCTTCAGCTGAAGGGCAACCACTCCTCCAGCAGTACGAACTGAACTGCTAAAGTAAGGTAAAGAGAGCTTAGAACTGCCCTCAGGCTAGCGAATCCCTGCTGCCCTAAAGCTGGCATAGCCAGTTCAGTGCCATCTGCTCCTCCATTCTTTCCAGAGGATACTGGTGAAATCACTGAGGGCATGGGGCATAGGTAAACACTTATGGACTCAGTATAGCTATTGTCATTACAAGCAGCTTTTATGGACACTAGACTGCCACTGCAGGCTGGTTTTGACAGACTCACGGACCAGGCCTAGCAGGAGCACAGAGGTGATTTAGAGCCGTGCTAATCTAATATTTTCATTCTACGAAAACATGAGAATCAAGCTGGCACAGTGAAATAATGACAGCCTAGTGCAGTTATTTATTACCTCATTTTCAAACAAAAATACACCACGCAGATATTTAAATTATAAAAAGACAGCACATTCACTCCTGGGAACAACCTGTCACTTGATCTGTGAGTACAACGTTTTGTGCATGGTAACAGATTAATGGTGTCTATCCACAGTGGTTTTAGGAGCTGCCTGCACATTTAGGTTCTTAGTATCCTCCTGGCTGTAATTTCAGTATACACAGTCCCAAATCCCTAACATGCCTGCTCTGTTTAGAAAGATGTCAGTGTCCATGGTCTCACAGACAGTTGTGCAATAGGTCTCATTTTTGCTGCATGTTCTCACCACAGCAGGAAACAGTAAAAGCCATCTGGGAATGGGGGTTGTACAAAAGAAAAAAGGAAGACAGAAAAACAGTGCTTGTGCAAAATCAATGGCAAGCCAGGTGACACAGCAGCCTACACCGTAACTGAAGCAATGTAAATTGAAGAACAGATGTCAGATGCATGAAAAGTCCGCCAAAGATGCAGAACACAAGAAATGTTTGCATAAAATGCCAGGACTAAAGCTAAATGCAAGGGAAATACTACTTAGATGTATGCACATGCATTCACAAAATGTTCTGGTGGGACCATGTATATACAATGTATTGCAACAAAATGATACCCCTTACCTGTGCATTTTAACAAGGCCAAAAGCAGTTGATTCTTCCCATCTAAAACAGTGAAGAAAAGGAAGGCGCAAATCAACATAATGACAAGGTAGATTTGATTATATTTAATTAACAGTGTCCTCATCCCATGCATGGTTATTTCTATGTACTATAGTAGTACTTTCACAGATATTTTAATGACAGAAAATCAAACAAGGTGTAAATCAAAAAATTTTACAAGCTAAATGCTCCATTAACTACCAGGAATTATTGGAAACAAATTGCATGTGTGGATGAATCCTGGAGGAGGTGACTGCTGCCCAGTGCTTTGCACTGAGTGTAAACATCGGATTCAGCTATCCTCTTCCAGTTCAACCAGGTTTAGGACTATTTTCCCTGTTCTTCTTTAGAGCCCAGTACAGTGTTGTTACAAATTAATATAAAATGATAAATGGAACTGCTAGACTCGATTAGATCAGGGCTATCTGATACCAAACTTTTCCCCATTTACTGACCTTCTACATGTTTTTGTATGATTTCAACAAGGTTCTTGATGCGCAATGGAAGGTTCCATGGATCTTCTTGAATGCTGGCTTGAATATTATTCCGGCACCTCACTGTGGTTTCTTCCTTCTGCTTAAATTCTTAAAAAAATAATGCAGTTTGTTGGGCATTGAGGAAATGCTATATAGCTGAGAGTGGCTTTTGATTTTGAGTATCAGTAGCAAAAACTGTGAATGAAAGAGGTTCTTAAGTAGATCTAATGCAGATGGGGAAAAAATAAAGACTACTCCTATAATCTAATCATCAGCAGTCTCCCAGCATTGTTTACAGGACTGTGAACTAAAAGGTGTGTACCTGAGTGATGTGCACGCTGAAGGGAGGTCTGTACTACTCACATAGCACAGAATTACCTTCTGTTTTCTGTGACTCATATTTGATATTCTAGCTTGCATACTGTATCTAAAGTTTGGGGCTCTGCAGAATCAGATCAGCTTTTTGGCTGCAGCATTCACATCCCATAATACTAATGAGAAGTTATGAAATATTCTGCTTTCTTTCACCTGATGTCAGCTAATTATTTAATTACAGAACAGGGGATCTATTTTTCATGACTTTGCTATGTAGCTAAGCCAAAAAGCCCATTGTTGGCAATAAAATGTGTACGCAGACAGAAACACAGTGCCAAATAACTGCTTATGAACAGAACTGGGACAGCATTTGTCACTGAAAGGAATCTATGGTAGCTGTTGAAGAGACACTTTGGTCCAGGTATTCCAGACATAAGCAGGGCTTGTCTGTTCCTTAGTGTGATGAATGTGCCATCATCAGTTAACTTGAGGTAACCTAAAGACTCTCCCAGTGCAATTAATCTAGTTGTAATAAATGAAACTCCATTTAAGCAAAATAAAATGAAGGAAGTGAACACAGAGTGTCTGTTATTTCCTCATTTTATTCCAACAGTGCATGGAAAGACTAACAGATAATCAATGTAAGTGTAAATGTGTTTGTAAAGATGAGTTCATGTAAAACAACTTCATAGAAACTAAAAAGAAAAAGAAGAAGAAAGAAACTCTACTTTAGTTTGCCACTGTAACTTAAAAACAGAGTTTGTGAAAGGTTGGGAAGCCCATGACTACAGCACCTGAAGTATATTAGAATAGCAGGAAGCAGTTCACATTTCAAGTGGGAAAGGAAATGCAGAAAATGTTCAGAAACTAAAGCCTTGTGTATTTCAGTGACAGAAGAAACCACATAATGGGCCTCAAAAACATAAAGACAAAAGTCTCATCATACTCCCTGAGGAAAAGAAAACAGGGTATAATTTGTTTGCTCTCTATGGGAATCAGTTTTCAAAATAAGTGTCATGCAAGGATGAATTTACTCTATTACCCATCTCTGAAGAAAAGCAGAATTAAGCAAACTCAGGCAGAAACTTTTGGTGCCTCAGATGTACAGGGGACAGCCCCTCATCAGCTTCTCAGTGTTAGTTTACCTTATATCTGACATATCTCTACCTTGTACCTTTTGAGATACATCTCTGTGTTCACATCAAAGGATGAATCTGGAGACTTGTGAAAGAGCTATAAGGATTCAGTAGCATATAACAGAAAAATGTTTTGTTTGTTTTAGTCGGAATTCATGTAAAAATGACCTTTTAAAGATGCAAAATTTCTGTGGCCAGACATGGCACTTGCCATTAGAGTCACAGAATATCCCAAGTTGGAAGGGACCCACAAGGATCACCAAGTCCTTCTCATAACATAAAACTGGATAGATCCACAGTTAATAACTCTGTGTGGCCATATGGCATGTGTACATTCATGCTAATCCCTTAAGTCTTAGAAAAGTGCATTACTAAATATATTCAACCTTTTTCTTTACCTTGCAAACTGTGGTCCATTGGAAAGTGCTTGGTTTCTTCAAAGGCCTTAGTTATTGCTGATCCTTTTAGAAGTGCATTGATTGCATCAACCTACAGTAGAAATATTTTCAGTCAGCATTAGAATGGCTTGTGGAAGAAAATCTGAACAGAACTCTTCTGGAAAAATGCTGAAGTCATTACACTATTTGTATTTTGGAGTAATTTCCCCTTCATTAACAAATAGCATTAAGGCTCTATAACCCTGAACCTCAAGAGCCCAACACTGAATGTAACATTCGGCACAGACAATGATCTACATGCTGATGAGATAAAAACAATACAAAAAGTTCCTCTGGTGATATACATCTATAAAGACATCTGTTGGCTAAGTTTTGAGGGCTCTCCTGAGATTTGTAAACGTGATTCATCAAGATCATGCAAAGTATTAGAATTTTGCTCATCTTTTCCCTTCTCCATCAAAGATTTCTTCTCTTTAATCTAATGCTTCATACAAGTCAGTTCAACCTTGCTTACATAACTCAAGGCAATATGAATACTGATTAATTTCTTCATCAATCTGTCATACAATGTGTTTTCTTACACTGTACTTCAAAATCTTCATAGTGTTTTTTTTTCCCTCAGAATATGATTGCATTAAACAATCAGATACTTCCAATTTCTTGTGTTGACATTGATAAAAAGAAAACAATGCTGTGTAATACTTCATGTACCTGGTTAAAAAGGTGTTCCAGGCAGCCGTGAAGTTTATCTTGTTTGTCTAAAGGAATCCTCATATCACTGGGAAGCTCATCTCCTAAGAAAAGGAAGATGAAAAACTTTTAACTGTCTTACCAACATAATCTGTGATGAGACCACAGGTGACACAAGCACAACTTCATATTAGAGTGGGTAAAAAATGATTGCTGCTTTCTCTCCTATTCTTAGATCAAAATACTCAGGATTTTTCACACAACAAAAACGTTTAATAGCTCTTCCATCTTCCAAATTTACTTTGTTTTTTTAGAAAAAGAACAGATCTCTATCTTTTCATAGTCTTGTGATTTGTTCTGATGAAACCACATTTGCAATTTAAACATGCAAGTGCTTATAGTCAGCAAAAACTTGTCACCTCTGCTAAGGAGTCTGGAATGTTACCTGTGCATATACTCACCTGATCCCATCTCATCACTGCCCAGGTAAGAGCTATTACTCCGTACACTGGTGTATGACAACACTGAATCACGGTTACTGTTACATTCACTGGAAAGAAAAGCAAAGGTGATTGAAAAAAAACTGTCCTTACACCCAGTCTATGATACATGTATACCATCATTCTGTTTTTATTAACACTGCAATAATCCCCATGACAAATTCTCTTATGTGCACACAAAAGAAAGCCTAATTGCTTGCAGAACAACCATTAAGCAAGGCCTCACAGGCTGGCATTGTAAAAGGATATCTTTCTCCATTTGTGGTGACCACTCAATGCTTAATATTGTCTGGATCCTATAAATAATGAAAATACATTTCCCACCATGACCTCATTTGGGCTGCATCATTAAACTTTTTCTAGGAGCACAGAGTAGGGGAGAAATAATTAAACTATGAGTTCAATGAACTCAGCAGTCATTACCAGTTCTTAGGATACCACAGCATCCAGATCCAGCATAAACTGAAGCTGCAGTAGAACAGATATTGAAGTTGAGACAGACATTTAAGGGATCTATACCGTTGGAAAATCAGGCACAGCAGATCCTAAAACTGCTTTGGGAAGCCGAAGAGTCACTTCAACTGTCTTCACGCCAATGCTGGCTGATGCATACATAGAAAATTGTAGCATGAATCTCTCTAACGTTCAGTTTACACTAACAATAACTTCTAAAAGTTATTAAAAAGGCAATGGATGTCAGTCTGTGCCACCTCCACTTAAATTACACACTAATAAAATACATGTTATTCCCCCTTGAATAACAATTACTTGCAATATATGCTTAATTGCCTGTCTAATAAAGATAAGACAGAATAATCTTTCTCATCTTACATTTACGTGCATAATTCTGAAGCAAGTGACAGATCCACATACGCTGTTTTTGATACCACTTTGTTACTCAGAATAGATTAGCTGCAATTATAGAAACCATTTAAACTAAACAGTGTTCACAAATGGGATTCCTACTAACAATGAAAGAAATACTTCACGTTTCAATAAAGCAGCTTCAGACCACATGTGCGGATTTAAATCTAGCACAATGAATAGACAGCGCAGATCTCAACATTTTAACTGCTGGTTGTGGTCCTTTACTGACTGGATATTTGCTGTCCTTAGAGATGTTCAATATCCAACTGCACAAGGCCCTGTGCAACCAATCTTTGTCCTTTTCTGAGAGAGAGACTGGACCATGTGGGCTCCAGATGTCCCTTCCAGTGTGAACTATCCTGATTCTGTCATTTCTGCATCCTGATGACTGTAATATATTAACATTTGCAGCAGTACAAAAAAACACTGGGTGAAGAGTCATGCCTGTAGCAGCATGAAAGTTTCAAAGGTGCATCGTTCATTCAGGCTATTCTAATCCTCCTAACTCACTATAAAGTCTTTTTACTCCTTTGAGTAGGGAAAGCCCTTTGGCCTTACTATAAATGTCAAAATGGCCTATTAGGGATATAAAATTGCAATGGTCAGACATGATTGCAACTTGTTCCATTTCTTGAGAAGTTAAGTTTTCAAATGTTTCCTCCCAGGAAAGACAGATTTGGAGTGTGTGAGATTTTCTTCAGTAGCAAATATTCCAGGAGAAGCAGCAGTCAATAATGTCTCAAAAACAAGATTTAGAGACACCTGAATAAACATTTGCCTTTGTGGTTTCAAAGGGACATTAAAAATAAAAATAAAAAATGAATGCCCATTTCTGTTTCTCAGTGGCTTAATCTTCTGGGAAAATTTTTTGCAGAATTGAGTGGGGAAAAAAACACTTACAATAGCAGCTATTATAAGACTGAACAGTCTGCAAACCCTGCTGAGCTTCTGTAGTTCACAGTTACATGGTATAGAAGGGAAAGTCATATTAGACCTATTTATTTTATTTTATTTTATTTTATTTTATTTTTATTTTATTTTATATTCTAAAAGTGTTGGTATTTTGGCAGTTTGGCATGGTATTTGGCATTTTGCCACAAGAAAAGTTTTTTCGTTGCATTATGTCCTCTTGGTAGTAAATGTAGTGAAATAACTATAGCAAGTGTGAATACTTTGCTAAGTAAATAAATTTTACTACAGGATTACTGACTGACTGGAAACTAACATTATTTCATATATTCAAACTCCAGAAGACTAGTTCTAATCTTTAAGTGGGTTAGGGTGTTATTTTCAAGGGACTAAGGTAGCTGAATGTCTGATTATCTGGTGAACATATGGTGGTCACTCAGGAGAAGTGTGGATGGCACCAGGGATGACACTGGATGTCTATCTGGAAAACCTCAACCAAGAGTTCCAGGATCTGTGAAAAGCCAATCAGGATATATTGAAACTTGTTCTGAGGGTCATCAGATCAGCAGAAATCTAGCATCTGCTGAAGATGTCAGGTCTTCTGGGTTTTGGTGTTTTCTCTCTGCTGCTCACTGTGATTTCAAGCCTTATCTGAGCAGCACATTTCAGCACCAGACAAAACTCAGCTCAGAGAGAGAATATTAGACGTAGTTAAAGAAATCAAGTGCAGCAGCCTCTTACTTATGTGCATCTCTGCTTACATAATTCCAAGAATATAAAATTCCTAGGAAGCTCTGAGGACACGATGTCTTGCTAGAGAACCATTGAGAAAGGCACCACACTTGTGCATGTGTACCACACTTTGGAAACTTCAGATTGATACCTGCCTGTTTTATTCATGCAAGATATACTTGCTGGTGTAAACAGTGGATAATATGCTCTAGGAAAATAATCCTGATCTATCAATTTGTCATTTGCTACTACAACATTGAGAGAAAATAAGACAAACAGAGATGAGGAAAAGAACCGCAAGTACTACAGCATAACTTTAGCAAGAGTTCATGTTACAAGTGTGTTGGTTTGGGTAGAAAACCACAGAAAGCCCTTGTGCTTGTTGAATCCAGACGTGTATTAGAACTTCAAAACATTATTTTAGTATGGTAAAAGTGACACATCTTTCTTCAGACTAACCTGTATGAGTCTCTGAAACTCATTGTGTCATGTCCTGAGTCTTCCTGGTCCTCCTCTGAAACTTTGAAACAGACCTTCTTGATGCCACCATGTTCAGCTTTGTCAGGATCACTCTCTTCTGTTCCCAGGGAAGGTGGAGATGTCTCCTCGTTGGATGGTGGCTCACAGGCACCACCTTCTGTAGGTTCCGTTATGGTGGACAGAAGTCTGCAGAAGGAAAATATTTGGTTCTCAGGGACCGGTAAACAGCCTCACAAATGACTAATCCTGGAATTCAGCTACGTGAAATCAGAGGCAACCTTGCCAGTATTTGTACCTGGACTACAGCTATGTAAAAGTGTGAGATCTGAGAGGGTTTGCTGAAATCTGTTAATCTCAGTTCACAAAAGCTTCACTTTCTGCAGATAACTCTACCTCCATAAGGTACAATTTAATTATTCTAACAAAGGCAAGGGCTCTATTTCATATTCAACAGTCTATACTTTTCCCATCTCAGGCACTGGGTTTCTCCTCTGGGGCACTGCCTCAGCTCACAGACTCTCCCCAACAGCTATTGTTCTTTCTGAAGTATGTTTGAGCCAAGGCACCACCACATGCTTTCTGGTCAGTTGAAGTTTTCGTGCACAATGGGCTTTTTTTTCTTTTGTCAGTGAGAAGGCTGGAAACAGCTGTGGCCTCATCCCACATCAATCACCCCTGCAGTACCTGCTAGCAAAACCCTTCCAGTTATGCCCAAGACACAGACTCAAATCCTTCATTACTACTTCCAGAAGACCCATGATGAGGAAAAGAAAAAGATGAAAAGGGGAAAGGAAAACATAGGTGCCAAGGAGAAAGCTGATAAAAATCACAACTTTTGTTTAGTCTGTCTTAGGACAAGCAAAACCGCCAGGCTAGGCACTCTGTCCATTCGGAGTTCCAAAACGACTTTTGGAATTTAAGACACTCTTATCTGAGAATATAGCATATATTAAGCAGTGACTTCTATAGGAGCAATGGGCAATAATATGTATACTATATATATATATACACACACATATATATACACACTGGTGGATTTCCGTGGGGTAGGTTTGACACTTCATAACTAGCAGCGAGCTGTAATGCAAGTAGCATGTGAATACGCAAGTATAATAAAGAGTAGAACAGTCAGGGCCAATAGGCAAAACGAGGTTTCTGGGGTTAATGCCTCTGTTTTGAGAGTATTGATCTCTGCAGTGCATACTGGATTCTTTACTCACTTATTTATCTGAATGACATATTGCTTCATTTCCTTCACTGCAATGTCAAGTTTGTTAAAAAGGTGCAAGTATGAGTCCTGTATCTCCCGATCTTCCTGTTTGAGTAGAAAACTGAGTCCCCTTTCTTCCTGACTTGTTCCTCCATTCTGCTGGCCAAAGCTGCCATCAAGATCTCCATCTTCTGGGGTCAGACATCTCCAGGATGGTGCAGCCATAGTGGTGATGCAATGTTGAGTATACGAGACTGGATTTATGGTACCTACTAAACATTAAAGGGTCTAGTTAGTATGGCTCTCATGAATTTCTGCAATCCATCGTAGTAATGCTAGTTTAGGGTACATGGAATTTTAATAGGAAAAAAATAGAATTTCACATAATTATTTTATATAATTATATTTCATGACAAAAAACATATATTTTTTTTATTATTTTTTACTTTTTTATTTTTCCTGGCATGCCAACTAGATATTTTGAATTCACTGGAGTCCAGAAACAGGTTAAATTCTGGGAATAATGACAGCAAGTGTGCACTCTTATCCTATTCCTATTGTCTGTTTGAATATCCAAAAGCATTTGTTGAAATGTTAATGAATTCAAGCTCTCAAGAGTTGGTCTGTATTATATTCCAGCATTAAAGACATTTCCATACACACGCACACACATATAGAGAAATAGGATGATGTCACTACAGAAGATAAATAAAATACTTTTTCATTTTAAAAAGCTGACAGTTGTGGTATGGTCATATTTAAAATACTGTAGAGTTTTAATATCCTCAAGCAAGCAGGGCTTCTTTATTGACTCATTTTGAATAGAGTCAATGCCATTTCTTCAGTAGATTGGTTAGTTTGCACCTCCCTGTGTCTCTTCCAAACGTTCCTGCTCTCTGACCTTGTCAGACAATGAATCAGAAGCACATTATGTGAGACCATGATGAGGAAATGTTGGAACTCTAATGTTCAGAATGAAGGATAAGTGCTATGCAGCAGCTGTTTATCAGAAGTAGATCCCCTTGACAGAGCAGAGACGTCCAGTTCCAATATATGGAATTTGTTTAGTAATGACAAAAGGAAATGGTATTACTATCTGATTGACCTGATATTTTCCACCTGAATGCAGCCTCTTTTCACAGTATGGAACTACTTTTTCTAGCACTATTAGCTCTCATTTACTTTTTCAGTCAGTTCTGCTAAGTCCCCAGACACTTAATTATCAGGATATGATCACACTGCTTAGTTAGTAGAATATTTGACCTGAAACTTTTGTATGCATAAAGGCATTACTATTTTACCACACAAGCAGGCTGTCATTTTACTACAATATTTTAAGGAAGAAAAAGCATACTGGCGAGACTGTTCCTTTGGAACTAATTTTGACTTTGCTGAGCAGTGGAAAGACACAACTTTCTATGCAAATAAAATCAGTGTGATTTGAAAATTAATTATCACCTTGTTCTGGATCAAGACCAATAATAGAGGGTTTCCGTCCAATGCGAATGCTGAATGACCTCCCTGCTGAGGTAGTGTTTTTGGGGTACGATACCTCCATGAGGTTAATATGGCAGTTGGTGGGGCAGAAATCCATGCTGTTGAGGGAATGTGGTTCCATGACGGCTTGTTTGAAGGCTGGGCTCACCTTTGTCTTCAATCCATCTGCAAACTGGGAGAGATAAAGCAAGCATTTGCTTACTCACTTGCAAAAAATTAGGTTGCAACACAGACAATCTCTTTCTCTTCCTGCCTCCTATTCAGATTATATGATTTGCGCTGCAACTGAAATACCACATTCCCCATAAAATGCCTATTAAACAGCAAACTGAAAACAATTAGCAGCACTTTCTAGGGCCCTTTTTTCAAACAGCTCAGGTAACTACTGCACAAAAGACCACACTTTGTTCACACTTTGACCCACTGTACTTATGTTCATATACATACATACAAATCATTCTGTTCAGGCCACATTTATACACTGATGTGGTGGAGATAAACCTGCAATAATATTTTCCAACTCAGAGCTCTGACAAGCTGAAAAGAGTGGTTTACAGATTAAGTCCTTTTTCTTAGGAACTTGCAATTTGATTAACGTACAGAGCTGTTTTCATGCCACGAGGACACCTATCTGTAAACAGTTTGGATTCACTAGTAAAGAATACCAGAATCCAGTTATCAGAGTTAAGTATTGTTTTGAGACTTCACCAATAACTAGTAGGGTTGTACCTCTTGGTAGTTTGCAAGTCTTCTGCTAATGCTTTCCAGCTTAGTGTCACAGATCTGCCGGAATTCATACTGGGGCATGGTGGCCACTGCACTGCTTAGGGATATAAGCCTTTTGCAATTCCTTACAAAGTGACTGTCTTCTGCAGCAAAGGCCTCTAAAATCTAAAGAAAAAGACAGGACATCAATTATACGAGACTTGACAATGAGGGGAAATTCCACTAAATAAATGGTAGATTCTATATGGTGACATGGCTGAGTAAAGCTGCCTTCAGAACAAGTTGCCTTTATCACCACCCAAGAACCATTTTCATGTCTAATCCTCAGATACATAAAACACCTCTGAAAATTTCAGAACAACTAATTGCTCAAAATATCCACTGGCACTGTCAGAGTAACCTGGCTCAGGCATACTTCCATTTTCATGGAGCTTAACTATAATGTTACTGGGATGTGGCAGAAACATTTACCATTATCTTATTATTGTATATAAATGGATCAAGATACTAGACATTGCTGATTTCCAACAGCAGCACTTCTGTCTCCTTCCTTTAGCAATCCATCCAGTCCATCAGATAGGAAAAAGCTGCTTGATTTCTTTTTTTCTGAAGCAAAGCAAATTCTTGCCTGAAAGGATTAAACTTCAGTATCAACAAAGAGTACATTACCAGACAGAAAATAGCAAGAGTTCCAAAGCCTTTAGTTTCACAGAGAGGCTCCACTATCTCTACCTCAACAGCTGAAACCCAGGAAACATTTGCTGACTTGTCCATACCAAACAAGAGCTAGTAGGAGGTGGTGCAATCTAATGAGGAAAGCTCCAGGCAGGTTTGAGGAGACCATGTGCTGCCTCATCCGAAGTGTCAACCCAAGTACCAGAGAAATGCCTGTATTATTAGCTTCCCTGTTCTTTTTAGGAGCGGAGATGACTATGTACATGGTCAGGTACCTTTGCGGTGAGACTGAAGCAACCTTTTGGTTCCACAATTTTCTCTAGGACAAAGGATTTGATTCCTGCGCTGCTGACATACTCATATACCACCCCATGCTCCAGGTGGGTGTTATCCACAGTCAAGCTAATGAGAGGTGTTTCTTCACCAGTGATCAGTGAAGAGATGATGGTCTGCTGTATCTGGGCTGGAAACAAAATTAAGTCAGAAGAGGTGTTTGGCAGCACAATGAATACAGGCATGCATGGGGAAGAGAAGTCTGGTGAGGGCTATCTAATGCAAAGGCTCAAAGACACAACTGTTGGCTCAAGGAGTCTCTGAACCACAGACTGCTAGAGGCTGGGAGAGTATTCTGAGGGAGACATTTGCTGTTGGCCACAATTGGAGACTGTAGTAGAGGTTTAGACAATAACATGCTGCAGTCCGTGTTCGGATGTTCTTCTATGTGTGCATGCACACATCCATGCACAGGACACCCCGCTTTTAGTTCTGTTCAGCATTCGGACACACAGTCCCCAGCTGAAGCTTTCAAAGGGAAGTAAAATATGTTAATCTTGGAGTCTTGTTGTCTGTAACAACCCTCTGGAAGAACGCCACTTTTCTGTCCAAGTGTTGGGAAGTGCTCCAGATGCATTTTCTGTGCAACTGTAAGACTGAGATGGCAGGGCAGGGCGGGGGTGAGGAGATAGCATTTTTAAACACAGGCAGTTCTGTTGTCACCAGAGAACAGGCTTAAATTCTAGTCAGACTGAGATTTGCCAGACGACTGCTGACATGTTTTAACCAGGGCACTGCTCCAGCTTTTCCACTGCGGAGCTGCACTGATGGCCATCAGCCTTGCAGGCTCACCGGGCCATACCTGGTATTTGCACAGGTGTGCAGCTGTTCTTAGAGAAGTTGCCAATAGCATAGAGTCCAGGCTCAGTCCTTCAGAGTGAATCTGGCTTCAGTGTTCTCCCCTAACAGCTACACTTCCAAATAAGCTCACAGCATGAAGGTAGAATAGTATTTTGTATGAATTACACTTTTCCAAGTTGGAAGACATACACTCCCACCTTTTACTGATGCAGTGGTTAATATGTTCTGAAAACTTCCTCCAGATCAGAATTATTTAAACGGAGTTAAATGCAGTTACTTCCAGACCTTCCCCCTTTATCTCCCAATGTCCATAAATTCCTGGTTTGTCAGGGCTAGCAAATGATTCTAAAACTGCTGTGCCTGAGCAAATGGTTCTAAAACTACTCTGCCTTTCCATCCCAGAAACTGTCTCTCTTGTAAAGACCAGAAGGGATGGGAGCTGTTTCCTTTTGAATGGGGTGCAACAAACTAAAAAACATCAACAGTGCTTGTTGGGATCAAGCCTGAACCTTGCTAGGATCCTCGTTTTGCCAGTGTATAAACACTTCTGCTTCAGGCAAATCAAATCACTACAGCAAATGAAGATTAGGGCATTAGTACATGTTACATAGGTTATCTACATCTGCCTCTCACAAGCTAAATTGTGCAAGCCCCGAGATGTGCTCACAGCTTTGCCTGCTTTGTTTATAGGTTCTGGTAAGAATAAGCATTATGCTTGTTTGGGATAGCCTATAGCAGAAACTGCACAGCTACCATGTCAAATTGAGGAACCTGCTTTACCATCACATTAACCTGGTTTTGTACCCTACCTAGCTCTGTGAAAGCCAGTTAACAATATACAGATCTAGGTAAGAGTCTCCTGCAGGCTGTATTGAGTAGCTTAACATGTAGTGAAATATAAATTACTACATGTGGCACAAGAGAGGGCCTTGCTCCATGAAATTGTTTTTCCAGTGGAGTATATGCTGACCCAGCTCTGTGACACTCTGTAATTATACTGGTCCATGGCTTGATATCAAAGTTATCAGCTAAGTAACTCCAGTTCGTTCCTACCTAAGCATGCAAGACCCTAGTCATTTACAGTGGGACCAGGGCTGTAACAGCAAATAAAAAGCAGATAGAGCAATAGATTTTTTTCTCTATCAAAATAATAGATTGATACTTATAAGGGTTCTCTAGGGCACAAGCAAGAAACAGACATCTAAGAATCCACTTAGTAATTCTAAAATCCTGTTTTCTGTTCAGGACAGAGTACATGCCTTTAGAGAGTAACAGGGGTACAATTTCTGTGTGTATCTCAATTTTTTTCTTCTCCCAAATAAACTGCAGGATAGGGATACTTCTTTTGGCAGACCTCATTTTATTGCAAAGCTTTACCAGCTCAAGAAATATTCTAAAATAATCATTACACTTTGTATTTCTACTGCAGTTTTTCTTCCTGAAGCCCCCAAATCTTCCCTAGGTTTCCTTCCCCCATAAGAATCTTTACCTGATTCCTGCTGGCTATTTTGAAGGGGATCCACTTCTTCACCTCCTTCCAGTGAAGAGTCTTCTTTGCTGGACCCAGGATGGCTGCCATTCAGATACGCACTGGATGCTGCTTGCTGAACTCTGTCCTCCTCAGCATCTTCATGTGTTCTGTACACCCACTGGTACAATCCCTTTCAAGAGATACAGGCTTCAGCTCTGACCTCAAAAAAATGCTTGATCTGTATATGCTTGGACTACAAAGGTGAATCTAGCTTACAGTTTTATATCTTTTACGTTGGCTGAAATATCAACATAGTCCCAGTGTCCCTCTGAATTTCAGACAGTATGAAGTCTGCATCATTATTTGGATGCATTTCTAGTCTTAGCAAATAGTTAATAATATTTAGTAGAGTACGAACTGACACACATACTATTTGCAGATGTTTTTGCAACTGGGGTTTACTGTAATCAGCTCCCTCGGTTACACTAGGACATTGGCATGGGAGCAAGTTGAAAGAGACTTGTGGAAGTTGCTTTTATGAATATTTAGAGAGAATAAAAACACAGAAGGGGAGGAATTAATGTACTTCCTTTGAGGTTTTGTATTCATACCAGTACTTCCTGTTGTCTCATTCTGTATGCTGTGAAGTGCTCCAGAACTTCCATATAATTTCCATGGGATGCATTATTTCCATTGACTTTCAAAATACACTGCCCTGGATGAAGGCCTACAGCTGCAGCCTCAGACCCTGAAAAAGTGACAACAGGAAGTTAGGCAGTAAAGCCATCTGTCTATGGAACAGAAAGCTGAGAAGGTTAGGTACTTATTGCAGGAAAGCTTTGTTGTATGAGAAAAACATTGTGTGTCTATCCTTCACATTTTCTGTAGTGCTGGGAAACACAGGCTCCCCCAGCCTAAATGCATTCGTGCTAGAAATTGAAAACCCCGTGGGAAATCATTTGGAGTTCTTAGATGGCCCTTCTAGCTTTATGCTTACAGTAGGTGAGTTCTTAAATGTGAACCGTTATATATGTTTCAGTGTGTTGCACTTGAAAGATACAGAATATTTACGTGTTATGGAGTTGGTCAGGGTCTAAGAAAAAGACTGCGATGTATTTAAAGCTACATTAAGTCTAGATTGCAGTAACAATTTCAGTGGATTTATTCCAAGTTCATGTGAACAACACTCAGATAACAAATCCAGCTTCTAGAAATCTACAGTTAAGGTGACTAACTTTTTTCAGGGCACCATAGGTTAAAATTCCTAGTTTTATACCAAATGTGATTTGTCTTTTGTTAGCAAAATCCTAAGAAAGGAGAATCTAGCTAGCTTGTTCAGTTATGGAAGTAGTAAATATCTGTCAAACTGTGTTTTCTCCTTTTAAAAGGACAATGGAAGACAGTTTGACCCTGTCGTATATTGAGAATTTATAGCAGTATAAACCAATGTAAAGGGAGATTTAGCCTTCAAGCCTTATAACTTAATCGACATCAGAAAATTTGTTTTTGTCTGCCAAAGAGCTGATCCCATAGGACATTCACAACTACAATGATCCAAACCAGTAGAGAAACAAGTGGTTGACCAGACAAAAATATTGAGAAAGCAACAGGCAGCATCACACCTGGACTTTTTCTTAGCCACCTCAGTTCTAAATGTTTGCTCCCTGTGACTGGTCTTACAAGAAAGCAGGTTAGGGTCACTAGGCAAATGCATTGTGGAATCAAGTTATTCCTTGTTTTGTGTTTATGGGATTAGTGACCCAATAAATTGTCAGGACTTGTTTAGAATTTGTTTGACAGAGAAGCCCGTATTTTGCTTAGTGTATCTACACATACCCTTATATAGATATGTGTATGCACTCCAGCTTAATTGTACCAGTCTTCCTACTTACCTCTTCCTACTGCATGAACATATGGTGGTGCTGCTCCCCGTATCTGAAAGCAAAGAGCTTCAGGACAATCTGGGATTTTAATAATCCTGCAGGTAAATCAAGAGGAGGAGAAAGAAACATTAAATCAGGCTGCTAGAGCTCTAGGCACTTCTATCATCATTTATCTGGCATTCACAACCATGTTTTGAAAAAAAATGTATAAAGAAAAGCACCCAAATAGTTTAGAAATAAATAAGAAATAAAGGGACATTAAGATATCATCCATTCCCTCTCCATTCTTCAAGGCAGATGAGAGATTTTCTTTGTAAAATTTTATTTATTTTTATTTAACTGACTTAACATTAGCTGAGGATCTTTTCTACTAAAACTACTAGAGAAACATCTTGGACTAGCATTCAGCATCAAGTGATAATTGAAAGGTTCCATTCTATGGGAAATTTTGGGATTACATAATCTAATAATGCACAAGACATCAGCAGGGTCGAGCCTCATTATAAGATATCATAATGGATTGAAAAAGATGTATGGACTGATATAGTTACAGACATCCAAAAATAAACCAAGCTTTAACGGGGTAGAAATTGCTCTCGCTTGGACATATACTAGAGTCCGAGAAGCTTCACACTTGAGTCAAAATGACAATCCTTATGTCTCAGTTCTGTTTGTGCACAAGGAGGCCAAAAGTTAACCTGCACTTACTCTTTTGATTTGGTGGCTACCAGAAGCCGAAGTGGCCTTCGTGAGCAGAAGGACTGGTTTAAGATGGTTTCTACTTCCAAAAATGGGCGTAGGAAGACTAAGTCCTCATTGATGGAATAGATTTTCCTTCCTATTTGCAGGCCAGCCATCTGCAAATGAAACCAACACCACAGAAAACTTTCATGATTTCACAGAAATCATTTGCATCATCTCTGGAAGTTCAGGCTCCAAGGTGTGCTTTGAGAGGTTCAACTACTCTCTCCTATGGCAGTTCCTAGGATTACAAATACTGTATACATGCAGCATAGGCTCATCAAATCCTTTGTCAATCACCCTTAAAAGTTGGCTGAATTTACAAAAAAAAAAAAAAAAAGAAAAAAGGAAAGAAAAAAGGAAAAAAAAAGAGAGATTTCACGTGCATAAATATTCCATGCCATGGATATACCTTCTTTTGTACTTTTCTGCCACAATTTTTTTTGTTTGCTTTTAACAGGGGACTTGAGTCTAGGCTGTGTTACTCAGTGACGTACAGAAGTGACATCCTACAACCTACAGGTCAGAGACAATGAACCAAGAGGATAGTTTTTGACCTCTAGCTATGCAAAAACTATCTATTACTGGTCACATAAGTAAATGTAACCTCATTTTAAGTGGTGGTAAAACCCTGCCTATGCTTTAAGTGAAACACTGGCTGTTCATCAACATAAATAGCCACAACATTTTCATTTTAATTCCTAACTTTTCCATCTAACTTTAGACAGAGACAAATCCCCTGCACACTGGACAATAACTTTAAACTTCTCAATGATCTGTATCGGTTAAAATGTGACATAGCAGCATGTAGACTGGGTACTAGGTTACTGAGGAAATATCAAACTCACTTTAATGCCGTAAAAATTAATAAATTAAATAAATATGAATCTGTGGACCCAATTATTAATCATTTCTATATTAGTATTATTTCCCATTACATTAAGGTCCAGTAGCTAGGCTTTCTTCTAAATGTGACAAGCCCTTTTCCTGTTCTGCCTGGAATCCATTGACAAATTTCTTGACTGCGAAAAAGGAAGTTTAAACAGTGCTACATAAATCTCCCAGATATGAAACTTTATCCAGTAGCAACAACGAATCTGGAAGTGTACAACTGGAAAAACCTCTTGACTATGCCTATTCATGGCTTGGCTTTTCTAATATATATTTTGCAGTCTTGACGTCAGAAATAAGCCTACCTACAAAAACCTATACTTTTTTTTTTCTCAAAATCAAAGCTTTCAAAAGGAGAAACTACCAAGTTCTCTCCTGGGTTTAATTCTCAAGCTTTCTACAGTTCATAGCATCCTCTTGTGTACCTGCATATAACATTTTTTCCGTCTTCTTTTGTACATAATAATCTATAAAATGGGTAAAATGTATGAATAGCAGTAGGGATGCATTTTAACTTAGAGTAGAATTTTACAAACTTTGATTTATAATTCAGAGGAAAAGTCCATGCTATTTGCAATTAGAATCACGGAATCATTTAGGTTGGAAACAACCTTGAGGATCATCAAATCCAACCATTTACTTAAACAGGGGGTTTATTATAAAGTAATAACTATTAAATATATTTCTGAAGTCATTATGTTTTAGGCCTGACTTTCTCAAAGTAGCTTATGCACTTAATATATGGGCAGTTAGCTAAAATTTTTGTATATCTGCAATCATTCTACCTGTGGATTGTGCATATGGGAAACATACCTGCATGGATAATCATAGTAAATCCACGAATATATGAGGTACACAGTCCCACATTAAACCCTACAAACCAGTAACTGTCAGAAACAAAACCTGTTACTCTCTTGGGATATAACTAACCAGGCCAATAAACAACTGACAATGTATCTCTTTATGGTTAAAGACCCGCAGCGTCTCAGCACTTGTATTCTCTGACTAATGGATACTCCTTATGACAACTCAATGCAGTTGTCTGGATCCAGGCCACTGTTTTTCCCCAACACCAGCAGCATGCTATTTGCTATTCATCTGTGTGGTCATTGGCCAACTGGCTGCTTGTTGAACACGCTCTGCTCAACCACCAGACATCTGCTTGTCAGTTAGCTGTTCAGAGCAAGATGGCAACCACACCTCCCAGAAGGATAATCTTTTTTACTGTTGTTTCCTCCTGATAGAGTGAGAGCATCATTCATAAACCATATTCAGGCTTAAAACTGGTGGGTAAACTCAGCTCTAATTAACCTTCAATGTTAGGGCCAAAATTGAGAAGCTGAACCTCAGGTGAAGAGTTCCCAAACTGCGGTTTAAGTGTCCTGTCTGGACAGGAATTTGATGTTCCCACAATTGTTCTATTAACAATTTTTAAACACAGTTTGGTAACTGCTTCTGCCATAGGCTCATTAAACAGTTTCTAAAAACATTTGAGAAGACGAAAAGATGCTAATACTAAGAATGTTTGGCAGTTCTGATTTTTTAAAAAAAACTAAAAGCCATGTGTTGCACATGAAAGATGTTCAGTGCTGTGTGCCACCACAATCTGTGCATGACAGTTTTGATCCTAGTATATTAGGAATGAGAAATCACAATCCTAAAGTCAAAACCAATGTGTTAACCTTGAATAAATCCACACAAGCAATGGAATTGTTCCCACTTCAGTTGGTGAATCTTGAATCTTCCTGTGCCCTGAAGTCTGACAGTCCTAATGAATGCAATGCGCTGTAATGGGCGCTGTGAAGCAAAGCTGTATGTCTTCATTTTTGTCCCTGAGGAGTGTGGCAGCAGGCATAGGGTCCCTAAATGGCCTACAGCTGCTAAGCCACACAGAATTACATGCTGGATATCCTTCTAGTATCACAAAGCAATTAAAAAGCCCAACAATGTAATGAAATACATTTCTGTTGGACTTCAGGTCTTTCCAGAATGAGCTGAAAGCCCTCCGATTCAGACATGCAGATTTAGTTCTTTCCTTGAGCAATATTTTATGATGGAGTTGAAAAGATGGGCTTATGGTCACAAACAGTTTGTCTTGGAAGATCAAGAAAAAGATTCCTCAGAAAATTGTGTGCTTCTGTTGTTTGAAAATGCAAACAGATTTGCAGGATATTCCACAGGCAGCTAGCCAAAGCAAGGACAGCAGGATTATCTATCAGGCAATGGTTTACAGCAGAGGTTTAGATTAATACAATTTTTGGCCAACCTATGTTGATTTTGAGCATGGGAATGGTTTCTCTGCTGACTGTAAAACAAATGTGAATCGCGAATACTCTGATCACTTAACTATTAAACTCAAAAAAAAAAAGAAAAGAAAAAGAAAAAGTATTAAACCCCAGTTCAAAAGTTCTTTCTATTTGACATTCTCAACTTACTAAAATCAGTATGGGAATTGTAGAAGACTCTCAATTTTCTATTAGCTGCCTTTGGAAAGAAACAGACTTTAAGAAGATAGTTTTATACATTTTCAAAACATTGAAACATTCTTAGCTATCAAACCCAAATTATTTACAAATATAAGTACCTCTGCAGAAGACCCTCTTCGAACTGACTTCACCACAATTGCTTTGTTCTTTTCTTCTATGTCAAATCCGTAGTCATCCTCTTCTGGTAAAATCTTAAAAGCAAAAAGAGCACTAGGCAATTATTCATAAATATGGAATATTCATGAAGGATGGAGTTGAGAAACTGGACTTTTCATTGCAATTCATGATTGACATAGACTTGTAGATCTTTAGGCCAAAGGGATTATTAGATCATTTGGTCTGATCTTCTACAGAACGTGAGCCATAAAATTTAATCTACTTATTTCTGCATTGAGCCCTTACTATACTAAAGCAGAATTTCGAGAGAGTTATCCAATTATATCTGTGGTCTGTAAGAAGTGAAGAATTTATTCCCTCCCTAGAGAGTTTGTTTGAATGGTTAATCAACTCCTCTATTAAAAATGGGTGTTTCATTTCTCATTTCCACTTGATTTTTAACTTTCAGCCCTTCATTCTTCATAAAATCTTTCACTTGTAGATTCAAGAATTGATTCATATTCAGTATTTCCCATTGGTAGATGAACTAACAGATCAAAATGAAGTTATTTATTTATTTATGAATGTTTCCTATATACCCAATAATGAACATAATAGGACCCATTTTTAGCTATCAATTTCAGAAAAATTGAGGATCTCACAATTATTTTGTATAGACAACAACACATACTACATAAATCTACATTATAACAGTTGGTCTGCTGGATAAAACCCTAGATGGGATTGGTGAGAGAGAACAAAGAGGGAAGATAACAAGACCATGTAATATACTCAGTTTGTAGTTTTAATGGTTGGTAGAAGATGGCTGTTCTTGCTTCTGGGAATCCGCTCGCTTCTGTTTGCACTGAGGTCACACAGACCAGCCTTATAAATATTTTTTAAAATCACATCAATCACGGCAAATATGTGTTTCACTCCTCCTTTTCTAGTGGTTTATTAACAACAATAAAAAAGCTTAACAACTCACTAACCATTTTAAAAAATAAAAGTAAGGCTGGCTTCTGATAAGTAGACAAATAGAAACTGTAGCAGATAAACATCTTGTCTTTGAGCTAACACTACACATTTAAGAACCATCTGATAAATCAGAATCAAGTTGAAAGGAAAAATAAAGCTATGTATAATCTAGCATGCTACTGGGAAAAACATTACTGAGAATTATCTCCTTGATTCTAATTATTCCTGCTATTTTAAAATATTTCCCTTTTTCTATTGTAGCCAATGCCACCAGCTTAAAAACTTTGTCCTTTTACAGGAATTTATCTTAGAAAAAAAATAAAGAAATCAAAACCTGCAAGAGCCATACAGTTATGTTGAAGTAACGCATGACAAAATACACCAGAGAAAAAAATCCTCCTCAGATGGTGTTCTGATTAAATGACAGATAGGAGAGTAAAAAAATACATCTGCCATTCTTGGATATTCCTAATGAAACATTTTCAGAATCAATGCTATTTAAGCATGTTTAATACAAGGACAGGTTAGGAAATTGGGTATACCACCAGTTAGATTTTTACTATTGCAAGTGTAATGGGTTTCAACCCAAGCACACATGTACTTCTACCACTTCACAATTTGGATTAAATAGAAAATTTCTAGGATAGCTCTCCCATCCAATTCTCATTTTACATTTGAAGAAACGATCAGTTTCATTTCTTCATCAGCTTCATCAGTGAAGCCATCAGCTACACAAATTTACATGATTGTTTGGGTGCAGCTACCATTACCAGACATGAAAATCTGTTATATGCTGTCATTTTTCATAACCTCTCTTGCTCTGTTCATTAGTACTGCAAAATGTAGTGTTTGAAATCAAAGAACCAAAATACATTTAATAATCCCCAAGTGCGTCATTACTAGGAACTTCATCACCATGTTGTAAAGGAAGAAATCTCACATTCTGTACAGCGATGTTTCTGTAGCAGAAACACTCTCTTATGAAAAGGTAAACTATGGAAAATATTCAATATGCAATACTTGGAGAAGGCTATGATTCATTCTCTATTATAAAATAGTAATACCTCGCAATTCCCCATCTGAATACCACTTATCCCTGAGGAGCCCAAACCAGTTAGCTAACTTGCCATCTATAAGAATTATTTCCATGCTCCCGAAATCCAATCAGTTCCTTTGAACATAATGAAGCAGCTGTTTAATCTTGAAAAACAACCATATTAAAAAATGAAACCATATGAGATATAAGCATGCTTAATCAAAACCAGAGGACAAATGTAGTCAGAACCTATTCAAAGAGAATTTTGGCAGAGATGGGGACAAAGAGTGGGAAGAAAAAAAGCTGTGAAAAGAATGGTCTATTACACCTGCATCTGTTACATACACAAAGCATTTTGGGTACGTGGGTCATGATGCCAATGTAGTACCTCTTCACTGCTCCCCTTTCCTGTAGAAGGAGGATTATGGAGTCAGAAAATGCCTGGGGTGTGACACTTCAATGTACAAGGTATAGCGTCTGGTTTATCCACTACTCTTGCTGAACCCTCCCACTGCATACACACAAAGGGCCTTGCCGGGCCCAAGATTCTTCCTTCAGTGAAGGAGGTGAAGGATCAAATTCTCTCTTGGCAGCCTCCCCAAGCTGCTCTTACTGTTCAGGAAGAGGCTAAAGAGGGAGAAACAGGAACTCTCACAGCCTAAAGAACCTCTTGAGGACATCAGCAGCAGAAGAGGCAGCATAGTAGATGGCCCATCGTTTCCCAAACCGGGGTCCGGGACGTACATCCTTCTCTCCAGGCTTTCAGAACTCTCCAGCATAAACCCCTCTCTGTTGGACACTATTCAACAGTTTGAATATATTAAGAATTTCGTAAGGAGCAGTGATTTATGAGATGATGTCAAGTCTGAATGCTTCACAAAACTGCTGAAGTCCCTGTGGCCCTCAGTAGCCTTGGTTTTAACAGACCTACTTTTCTACCACCTCACCTCCCAGGTTGCTCCAGTCTCCCCAGGCTTTCAAAAGTCCACAGCTCTGGGGCACTAGAACAAAATTTCTTTTAAACAAGTAGCTTCAGAACCTAGGCCAGCCCTACAGCTAGTATCTTTAAAAGTATCTTTTGTCACATTAGCAAAATAGATGCTATATGTACAAAACAAGTCCAAGTTCCTTCTGGTTTATGATCTTTGAAACTGAATGGTGAAACTGAACTGAAATTGGACTGTTCATTCTGAACAGTGAAAGATTTACAGCCTAAAGGATGTTTTTCAGAGTTCACTGAAATATTTAGTATCCAAATCCACTAAAAGCCCTTATCTGGCCACATTCATCTAGTTGATGGATGCCCCTTCTTACTGACTTGCCAGCCTGCCTCCTTGGGAGATCAGATATCCCCAGAGGATGGGCTGTCATTAGTGGCCCTGTTCCCAGGGGTGTTTTAAATCAATAATTTGAATACACCTCCATACACTAGTGTAATGAATAGCAAAGGAGAAGTGCAATTCTTGCTGTCCTTGCTGAAATATTGCAGAATTAGATCACCTTATATTAGCACAAGCACAAAGATAGTTCTCCTGAAGTAATTAAATGTGGGAGAGATTTTTATTATGGAGCAAGTTTGGCTTTGAGTAATACAAATTACTGTTATTTATTTGTGATTGGAATGAGAACTGTGTTCTATATATAGTTGTATAAGAATTCTAAGGTGAATGCTATGTTTCTTCAATTAGCTGTTTTAAAACAGAAAAGACATGAACTCATATGATAATTCTACTTAGTATCAAAATCTTGAGGTCTGAAGTGCTGAATTATAAAGATGCTTTCATCTTCAAAGCTGGTTCTAGATGTAAGAGCAGCAGGAAAGCCCTGTGGATAGATGAGATTTAGCATCCTCATTTTCAGATGGCAAACTGAGGCAAGGAGAGACTTGATGAGGTCTTGGTCAGGCCACACAATGAGGTCAAGTGTGAAGTTAAACAAAAACCCAGGTAGCTCCGTCTTCTGTGCTCAACCCATTGGCTTTGACTGAATATGCCACCGTACTCAGGCACCTGCCTGAGCTGAAGTGTAGGACATGCCCCAGCCCAGGCTGAGAACTTCAGTGAGACTGCAACTACTCCTGCAGCTACTGTGACACACTGCTGGCAAGTAGTAAAACATACTGGGTGCCTTGGAAGAATGTAGGAGATACTACGTGTCTCGAAGTTGAGGTGCAGACTTAAAGTCGAGTACTGTGTGCAGTTGTGGACACAGTACAGAGGACAATAATTTTTGGAGAGTGTACAGAGGAGAGTGATGAAGATGGTGAAGGGCCTAGAGAGGAAGACGTATAAGGAGCAGCTGAGGTCACTTGGCCTGTTCAACCTGGAGAAGAGGAGGTAGAGGGGAGACCTCATCGCAGTCTACAACTTCCTCGCAAGGGGGAGTGGAGAGGCAGGTGACCCATTCTCTGTAATCACCAGTGATAGGACCCACGGAAACGGTGTTAAGCTGAGGCAGGGGAAATTTAGGCTGGACATCAGGAAGAGGTCTTCACCAAGAGGGTGGTCGCACACTGGAACAGGCTCCCCAGTGAAGTAGTCTCTGCACCAAGCCTGTCTGAATTTAAGAAGCGATTGGACTGTGCACTTAGTCACATCGTCTGTAATTTTGGGTAGACCTGTGCGGTACCAGGAGTTGGACTTGATGATCTTTATGGGTCCCTTCCAACTCAGGATATTCTGATTCTATGATTCTATGATCTCCAATCTAGCATGAAAGGTTTGAGAATGGTTCAGAAAATGTACACAGGCATCATTATTAGGAATCAGCTGACATGCTTTTCTTGTGAGATCGGATAAATGATACACTAGGGTCTTCTAGAGATTCTAGCAACGTCTGTGTAATGATCTTCTTAGGCAACTTCAATGACAGCACACCTCTACAGGCAACTATCCTTGCCTGATATTAAGCTCCAAGTTAGCAGCTTTAATTTGTGCTTGGGCTAACGAGTTACTAGCATACTGCAGTAACCAAGTCACTATGTTTGGAATCAATCCAAAATCCAAATTCTCTTCAACTATGCAAAGAATGTTGTATATTTTTTCAGTGTATCAAGATTTATGGCCTTCAATAGGAAAAAAATTGCACAAATGAATATTAAACCTTGCTTGAAGAGCATTTTTTTCAAACTGAAAGCACTTTTTTTTTTTCCCTTGGTATTTCCAACAATATATTGGCCAAAGCTTTTGTTTGTTGTCTTCTGTTTTCAAGGGCAAGCTCTACTGTGATAAAGCAAACTTAGATGAATGGGTGGGATTTGTCGCACTAACCAACAAGGATTTCATGGAAGTATGTTTCAAAAGCCAGTGCTGAGGAAATTCCATTAAACTTTCTATGGTGGGCTTGGGGGAAGGGAAAAATCAATGCCCTGTCATGTGAAGAGGCAGCAGTGATGTTCCACAGGCAGCAAAACCTCAAGATTCCAGCTGCTCATAATTGCTAAACACACGATGAAATACAAGTCAGGCACAAATGTTTCTGTGTATAAATGTAATGCGTTTCCTGTGCCACTATTTGTGGGATGTGCTTCTTAAGCATTCAGGGACTGCTAATTTATTTTTGCAAATGAATGCAGTACAGGCCTTTAGAATGGCTACTACTAATTGGAAAAAAAAAAATCTGTTCCCTCTGAGTGGTAGATTTCTTACTCAGCGCATGCACTTCATTTCAGATTGGTTACTTTTTGAGACAGGACTGTATTTTGACAGGTTGCCTGGTGCACTTCAGAAGTACAATAACAGTAATGTTAAAATTATTCCTGTTGTAAATATTTCAGTTTATAAAAAAGAAGAGTCACTTAAAGGACCAATTAGGGATTACACTTAATCACTAGTAAATAGTTTCTTAATCACTAGTAAATAGTTTGTGTGTGGACGATTTGCAGTTTGCTGAAGAGGCTTCAGTTTGTTCTGCCCCTTTAGTAAATACTAATAAACAATTACGTTACATTAAAACAGAATCAACTTTAGATCCCTCTTTTCAGGGCTAATGTACTATCGCTGGGCTTTTGCATTTTCTTTTTAACAGATAACCATGAGCTGCTAGAAAAAAGTGGAATAAGCATTATAGTCAATCTGTTTTCTGCTATCTTATCCTGATGAAGAAAAAAATCAAAAATACCTGAACAATGACAGTTCCCATCAATTTGTATGAAACTGATCTCTGAGTGATTTGCAAATCACAGAAGGAAAAAAAAAGTGCAAGTGTAGCACCTTTTAACTGCTTCCCTTTATCCAGCAGTTCTCCAGGAGGGTAATCGTATTAGCATGACACTCCTGTCTCTGGCACTGGCTGCAAAGAGGAACAATTCTGAGGTCCCATGGTACTTTAAATATTACTACTGGCCATTGAGACAAACACAGATTGGTCTCCTGGGAGACAAGGCAATAGTGAGACAGTGAAGTTTGTGTGAACCACAGGGAAAATTTTCCCATGTAATGGACCTCTGGATCTTTTCCAGCAATTCCGCTTTTGTAGTTTCTGACCCAAGCTTTTATCCTGCTCCTGCATTCTGTTGGTGCTGATAGGGAGAAAAAGATGGGCCTGGAGTCACTGGCAGGAAACAAGGATTTCAAAACAAAGAGTACACGCAATCCAGCTACCAAGTCCCAAGCAGCATGGGAATAATCCCAGGGCAGTAAGGACTGTGGCAGCATTTAGTGAAGTGGGAATCTGGAGATAACAGTAGTGTTGCAAAAAAAGAACAATTTAAAAAAAAATAAAAAATGGTTTCTGTAAACAAAATAAGGCTGCTACTTGATCCAGTAATGCAGGGCATATTCACATCACTCAATGATGTCTTGAAATCTCTGTATTTTGATTAGTCACTTCACTCTCATCTGAATCTACTGTCTATATAAAGGTATTTAAACTGTGTTTGACCTTGATGGCAGACATCTCCCAAGATTGTAGTGCCCACTACTTCCTCCTCCACCACACCAACACTGTGGTACAGACGCAGCAAACTCAGAGACATTTGGTGCCTGTTAAGACAACATCCAGCTGCCAGCTCACTTCCAGACTGCCTCTCTCAAGGGCTTCATGGGAAAAGAAAGGGATTAGGCTGTGAACTGGATGAAACAGTCTTATCTCTGAGCCTTCTCTTCTCCTAAGACCTGTCAGAAGTAGGCAGAAACTTACGTGCATTTGCACATATGTTTGTAAGCTGTACACCAAATCTTCCAGGTAGTGCAGTAGGCCTGGTCACATGCTTGAGAAGGGGGCCTGCACCTTACGCATGTCCCTTACTTCTAAAGTAAGCTGTGTAGTCTGCCCAGCTAGAAACATTGGAGCTGCAAAAACTGGGGCTCTACAGCAGAATAGCTCAAGAATTAGTATTTTTGCAGTGAAGGAGAGTCTAGCTACACCTGTAATTCTAATTTTTATTCTACTCTATCATAATTTTCCTTCACATTCTCTAGCCTGAAACAATACCAGTTTCATAGAAAGGTAAAGGTTTGCATTAACACATTTCTTACCAGAAGACGCTTTCCCAGGATGTTTTCCACAAGTTTGAAGTCATTGCGTAACTGTTTGCTCTTGGAACTGGTGCCTTCCATTTCTTCATCAGCATAAAAGCGGAAATATAAGGATTCATCCTTAAATTCACTTTTCTCCAGAACTGGAAACAATATGCATGAAACACATACATGCATTTGCACAGAGAAAGAAAGAGAAAAACAAAAAATAAAGTTAAAGGAAATCTTAAACATTTCACTTGTCTTTACAGAGCAAAGACCAGATGCATCCCCGTCAGTCAGCTATTCAGCTCTATATTTTTTAAGCTACTACTGTATTTTAGGGCCATGCTTTTCTTTACAGTTCAAAGTAGCTCATGATATGATGTTTGACCTCCTTGGCAAGTAGATTGCATATAAAATGCACAAGATCCCCTTGGAAGAAAGATGCTTCACAATATGTTGTGCTCCTCTCCCATATCAAAAAGAATATAGTAAAACTACAAAAGGAAGAAAGAGAGGTAAAATGGTGGTTTTAAGATAAGGGATATGACAGAACAGGCTAAGACTTTTCAACCAAAAAAGAATGGAGAGGGAAGTAAGATCCACAACATTCTGGAAGGCATGATAAAGTTCTTTAACACATTTTCAAATACCAGACCTGGGGCTGCACAATAAAAGCAGCAAGTCACAATTTTGAAACTTGAAGAACTACTTCTTCATTTACCATGTACTTATGCTGTGGAACTCCTTGCCAAAGGGTGCTGTGAATACCAATGTTTACATGGGCTCAAAAGAGATCAAATTCTTTAAAGCAAATCAATTTTTCTTACACTCTTATCAAACACTAAGCAAATTTTCTACAAGTTACTTAAAATAATCTGCTCTCAAAAACACCATTTTTGCAAGTGTTATTTATGATGTGAACTGGATGATTCATTGGACAAATGCTATTACACTCTGGGTACTTTGTATGTGCTACTTGATACCAATACTGATGTGGTTTGTTTACTTCCCCATTTCAGAAGCAGCATCACTAAGGATGGATGATGTCTCACTTGGCAATTTGGCACTTCAAATTTAGAAGCTTCAGAGGTTCAGCTTCAAGGATTGAACTTGCTGTAAAAGTAGCAGGAACTAAACAATTTTACTTTGCACCTGACATTTCTTGGGAGACATTTCAGTACAGGACTTTGTTTGTGCATTGGTTTGATGGCTCTGAAAGAGATGCAGTGAAAAAATATTCCCCTTCTAGCTTGTCTAGTCACTGCAGGGCCCATCATAACCACTAGCAAGGGGATTCACTGAGGAAGGTACTGGGTTCAGACATTTTGTGTAAGCTCAAAGGCTGCTTTTTGGACAGACCTGCTGGGATGCCTGCAGCTGTTTGCATGTCAGCATATATGGCACAGTATACAGAAAAGGGATTTTCAGACTCTGTCAGCTAATATGACTGCAGAGCTGCTTTAATTGGTTGTGGGGAGGGGTACTGATGCGTTACCATGATGCATGAAGCCGTTATTGCAGAGTCCGACACCCAGTGCGACAGCTTCCTCGCGAGTCTGACAGTCTCCCTAGAAACAGGAGAATAAATGTTACACCCCAGACAACTTCCTAAACTAAATTAATTCCCCTCCCCACCACATGGCTCGTGGCTTTGCAATTAGCAGGATTGCTCTTTGTAGGGAGGGAACAATAGAAAGCAATTAATATAGCTACCCCCACCTTGCCCAAATCCCATTCATTCCTATATATAGCATCTTTTCCCTCTGACAGGAACTAGGAGGACAAAGACCAGAACTCTGGAAAGCAGTTGTTTAACCTACAAAGGAGTATAATATTATTTCAATGTAAAGACTTTTTACTTGCAATCACAATGTCAGACTTCAGGGCCCATTAGCCACAGCTGACAAAACTCAGAGAGGTTAAGAGATCTTATCTATACTCAAAACCCAAGGAAACAAAATAAACAAACAACAAACCAAAACTGTGTAAACCCAGTGCATTGTCTGTGAACTCCAAAGGTCGTACTGGTTAAACCTGCAGTAGCACTCTCCTTCCTCACCCAGCAGACTGACAAAGGATTCAGTTGCTCACTAACTGGCAGCCTTCAGCATAGGATTTCAAAATAGGTACCAAAAGTGACTTACAAATTTACAAATAAATCTGAAAAAACAGCATTAAATTTTGCATCTACGGTTCAGCTAAATATAAAATATACTCAGTTTTCTCCATGCATCTGCTAACTTGCAGCCACAAGTGAATACTTCTGCAAGCATGTTGATTGCATTTTTAGACAATTTCTGAATAGTGCAGAGAAAAATCAGCAGAAACTACTAGTCTTACCCAGACAAAAAACATTTTTAACATTGGTTATGGCTGTAATCCAAGACTGTCTGCTTCCCAGTTCCCTGAGGGACACAAAAGAACCCGGGATCTCCTGTCTTGCTAAGAGCAGCCGCTCAGCTCACTCCAGCAGGTAGGGGGATCTGCTGCTTTGCAATGGGACTAGTTTAGCATCTGCAAAGGGACTATTTTAGCATTGTACTTTCGGTCATACTAAACTGGAAGCTGTATCCAACAAAAATACTGCAGCTTCTTTTTTCCCCTCCCATCTGGAGAACAAAGTACCCTGAAGTTCTAGCAGCACTGGCAGAGCAGTACATGGACTTTGTTTGAAAAAAAAAAAACTAATTACAGACTGAGAGCCAGTGGAACATCAATGTATACTTCACATCCAACTAAGCAGAGCAGTTGCTATGTGCCAGTCAATACTGGCAAAGAACACTACTATGGTGTAAAGATAGTACTTAAACACAGGATCAGTTCTTGTGACTCAGAATCATTACTAGCTCTTGATGAACGGACCTTCTGAGAACACGAAAAAGACATGACATTTACACATCAAGAAATAAATAATGTTGTCTTGGTAGGAAGAAGACTGAGGTTGTTCTGGAGGAGCTGCCTCATTATGTAATCACACAAGGAGAGCCAAGCAAAGGGCTTTAATAAACCTGAAGTTTAACTTTCACTATAAACTAATTTCAATCTCTGTAGGTCTTTTCTCATTTTCAACATCCTGCCATGTGACAATCCTCAGTACTCATTTTGTGTTAATTTATGGGATAAATGGGTAGTTTATTTTACAGAGGCTGGGACTTAAAAATCTAATTTAGTCCTTCAACTGTAAATAAACTGAAGAAAAATGCCTTCTACTATTATTTTTTTAACCTTTAGGAATCTGCTTTTGTTTTAGGCAATAAGATCTGTATAGGAAGGCTCTAAAACTTCTACTACTACTACATCAGCCTGCTCGTGATGATGATAGATTGGCCTCAGATCACTCCCCTAGCAATACAGAACACTCTAATTAGAAAAGGTAACTAAAAACAGATTATTTCAGCTCATCTGTAAGTCTTTCTAAATGTTATGTAGCGATTCATCCAAATACAAGGAAAGCAGTAACAAAAATCTGAAGGAAAAAGAACCACCTAAAAGCAGCAATCTTGACAGAATGAGTCTCAGAAATTTTTTTCACACAGAAATTGCATGTGAAACTAAATACACTAGTCTTGACATAGTAATTTAGGTTTATTCAAATGCAATCACTGAATTCAAGTCAACAGAATTACAGAAACAGTTTACAGACAGAGAAGAATCATGTGCATTAGATGCTATTATTACTACTATTGCTGCTGCCACCATTAGTTTATTACTTCATGTTGCCTAGTTCTGGTGGCAATGTGATGTCTAAAGTCCTAATCATGGACTATGGCTGGTTGTTTTGAGATGTATAAGCTCGGGGATGAAGATAGTTGCTTACAGCTACTGTAGGAGAAAAAAAAAAGCAGATAAACACAGATGAGTCAAGAAGAAAAAACAAACCACTTCTAAATATTTTATTAATATCATGGAAAAGGTGAGTTTTAAGATTATGAGTGTATCAGGTTTGCAGACAATTATCAAGTGTTCCTTCTCAAACAGAAGAGGTGCTCACTCCTTTCAAGTGGCAACATGCAGAGGTACAATATGTGCTGCAATGGAATGGAGTGGATGGATGGGAAGACAAGAGAATGACAGAAGCAAGAGGCATAAAGGATCTATCTTACCAGTAGGTTTCTACTTCATAGCAACGTTTTATCACAGACTATTTCTGGAGGTCTGGATGTAAATCTTTGGGCAGATAGAAAAGCACTGTTTTTGTGATACTGCCCTTTAGTGAACCCTCAGTAGCACCTGAGATTCTGTGATCTACAAGTGCTCTCATGTTTATGTGAGGTCTGTGTTCATCTTTGTTCTCAGTCTACTGGCAGAAGGAGAAAGATTAGGTTGCAAAATAAAGCCAAGAGGGTGCAGAATCAATGAAACAATGAGATCCTTCCCTTCAAGAATTGCTTCCAAGCACCTGAAATACAGTTGACTCAATTTCTTTGATTAGAAAAAAAGTTCCTACTATTTTACAGTGTTCAGTCTTATTTGTAAAGGTCAAGGAAATGAAAAACAGCTTTCTTATTAGGAAAGGCTCCTCCTGGCATTTACAGTCTAAATTGCAAACAGATACAAGAGGGACTATCTTTGAAGACAATCATCTCTATCCCAACTATATCTAATCTAACAGAACAACAGACCACACTGTTTTTGTGCACCATTTCTAAACTTAAATCACGGTGCAAATTGATTGTCAGAAGAAGAAATAAATATCCCAGCATTTTTGTGTAACAGGTAGTTATCAAATCAGACAATAACAACAATATTTTCAAGAACAGATTCCTAACGTTAAACTGACAAGCAGATATTTGAGCAGTTAAGTAAATGCACTGCTTTGTAAAATGCTGAACACTCAATAGCTCCTACTGAAACCTATTGTTAGCTGGTATGGTCAAAGTATGAATGGTTGCTAGAAAATGATTCCATCTGGTATGAAAACTTCAAGCAAATTGTCTTGGAAATTACTGTTTTTAAGGATCTACAAGCAAAGTGATTTTGTTACAAAGACTGAAATTCATCTAAGTTGCAGGCAGTGATTTAAATATTTATATGCTCCCTTTAATGGAGCACAGAAGAATTTTCTTTCATCGGTGCATCTGTGTGCATGTATGCATGCACACATACACTATATAAATTACATCATCTTCTGTATCTCCGTTTCTGGCTTTAGTACAATCAGGTTCGATCTTAATGTAAAGTTCAGCAAACAGGAGAACAGCGAGATTAACCTACCAGAAGGAAGAATAATGGGGAAGGTAATGAGCTACATTTTTCCAGACCAAGAGCTGATCTTTTATGTTGTTCTTTGAGTCTTTCTGCTGCCTATGGCACTACGATTAGCTATTATAACGGTGAGATTAGCCTGATTACGTCTCTCTTCTTTGGCCAAAGCAAACTTTTTTTCCTCAGCTTTCCATGAAAAGACCCTGTTAAATTACAAGTAACTGATACAACAATTTCAGTACTAATATGCTTGCTCTTTTCCAGGCTCTTAAGAGGAAAGCAATCAACTACTCCTTTCTCACTCAGTTATTTGGCACAGAATAACCTTAAATCATAGCAATCTTATTAATGTAGAAGGATGTCAAGTGCAATTGCAGGAAACATCTCTGAAGGACAACATCCCTGATAGTTAAGAGGTCTGATTCTAACTCAAACTAGCTGTCTTTTATGTCATTTTGTCAGTATTGGACTTGATGTGATTGTGAATCTGACCATCATATAAGACAAGCCCAGAATGTGCAGTAGACTCTATGGCAGTGAGCAACAGGATACCCTCTCCTTTTAGACTGCTTTAGTCTAACAAAGGTAAATTTTTAATTCCCCAATCTACAGGCTTTTCCCTGTAATTACAAGTTAAGTATTGGGCAACTCCAATTTCTAAAGACAGTGATTCAGTGATTTTATTTACTTTTAAATGAAACTGAAAAAATAAACTACTTGTCAAAGACAGCAATATCTTAAAAATTTCTTACCTGTGCGATAAGCCAATCCACTAGTTTGCTTGCAGGAATTACTGATTTGTAGGTCTTCAGGTGATAGTCACGATCTCTAATTAAGAAAGAGAATTTGGGGAAAATCAGGACAAAAGGTAAATATGTCTTTACACTCTAAACCTAAATATACTATTACAATCCACTGTTATGAAATTGAGGAAAGAATTATAGATGAAAAAAACTATGACACTCCCAGCCATAAATAAGTAAGACAAGCAATAGGAAGCAGATACCTTCCTATCTTTAGAAGCATGGAGTTTTTAAAATTTTCTAAAAACTTGAATTAAGGAGATATTTTAAATCAATACAGAGCAGTAATATTTTAAATTTCTCTTGATGGTTTTTCAAGCTGTCTTCAATGAGCTCATATTCCTGCCAGGACATTCTTTCCACAAATGCACCGAGCTTCTTCTTTAACTCAGGTTAGCATATTGCCACCATTGTGCCTGTTGAAAATCGCATTCTTCTAGCAGGAAATCATATTGTTTCCATCCTAACGGCAATCGTACCCAGTTTATATTTACTGGGTCTGTGCCAGGTCCATCTGTTAGGTTAAACAGTTCTGCTTTTTAAGTGTTTACCCACTGACATTCATAGGCAGTCACCCTGCATATTCCCTCTGTGAGCCCTTTTGCTAGGTTCCCTGAATTAAGGACCTTTTAGCCTACTCTGTCAAGAGAGATTCTGCTGATTGTCCTCACCTGTTTGGATTTTACTTCCTTGAGCAAAATACCTGAGTGGCCAGATACAAATAGAGTAGAGTGTTCCTTTATGGCATTAGCTAATTTCAGTCAGTGCAAATGAAAAAGAAGTGTTACATTTAGATCTTGTAACACAACTTGTACCATCTCACATTCAGCCCTTCTAGGCAGCAGCACTGGTCCTGAAATCAGGCAATGAAACGCCATTGTAAGTTACTGCATTTTGCAGTTTCCTTCCATTCATCTCCTCAGAGCCATGGAGATAGCTGATGTTTTCAGTCTTTCACATAGTACTTCTGAAGAACTTTGATACAAATATAAGAGTAGTATGTGTCTCAGAACATTGGGCTCTAACACCTTTCTCCTCCAGGTCACTACATTCAATCCTGCTCATGAGGGAGTGAAAAGATCTTTCCATTTTAAGCCTGTTTATCGGCTGACATGAAAAAAGTTTGGTGGTCTTGATCCAGTTCCTAGTTCCACAACACAAAAGCCACTACTGCAATTCATTTGCATTAATTGGCTCTCTCTTTTTAAGAGCCTCAGTAGAGAGGCCAAATCCTGAATGGGCCATGGAGAATTAATTCTCCTCTAACCCTCGGAGGTGATCCTTCTATTTCAAGCCTGAGGTCCACTGGCATGACTGTGGAAGGAAACTTTCACAGCCACTGTGACTGTTTTACAGTCTGGATATATCTGTAACAGCATCTCAAGAGAAGACCTTAGTGTTTTGTTCTGTCAGATCGACCTCCTTCATCAGCACCACACCATCTAATACTTCCTTCTTTTCTAAAAATTTAAAATCAAAGCACCATCTAAAACTTCATACTACCTATGTTTCCCTTTCACTAATCATCTACAGATAAAAATATGCTGTGACTTTCTTTTGTAATTAAATGCAGCAGAAAAGCAGAATGCAGGGTGTGAGAAATTAGAAAGGGAAACAGAACTTTCAAAACTTGGTACTAAAAAAAAAACCAAGCATGACAGCATTTCCATAAATATATCCTCAGAACAAAAGTTTTCCTCATAGTGCTTAGGCATATTTTTCACCTTGTCTTCCAGTAATGTGCTAAGCCCAGCACAAAACTGTGGGAGTTTTCTGGGCAGTTTTCCCCTCTTATACTCTTATCTTGAGAAAATGTGCTTTTGAAATGTCAGAACAATAAAGGAAAGCATTAAAATATTGAGTACTAATGAGTAGGGGTTTCCAGATTGTGAGAAGCAACTCCCTATGTTTTAATAGAGATGCTGGCATAGAGCTTTGAATAAACTCGCATTAGGATCTTGCTCCGAGGCCAGTTTTTCACTGCTTGTTCTTAAATGCTTATCCAGAATGAATAGTTCACTGACTTTTCCCCCCTTTCAATTTAGCCTGAACAAGAGAGGAGCACGCATCACAGAATGTTATCCACAACCACAACCTGCAGGTGAACAGTCAAATATAGAAGTGGGAACCATTGAAATGTTGGCAGAACCTTGCTGCCGCACAGAAACTAGAGAAATACAATGTTCCCCACAGGCTGTATTTCATCTACACACTGAAATATTGTCCATTAAACATATAAACAGGGAACAAGTTTTCCTGCCCTCACAAATTGCCCTGAAGTAGGTCAGAGACATATTCAGAACCTCTTCTATATCTAACATTCTTCTGAAACCTTTCATACATCATTCCTCAAAGTAGCATGCTTTTTTGCAAATGTGGTACAATACCTTGTCCTCAAAGTACATTAATGTCAGACTCTACTTTAAAAAAAAACATAAAGATAAAAGTTGCGTACACTCTCCCAAGCCACAAGGGAAGACAACTAAGCAAAAACGTATTCCATGGCTGCCCACAAAATAATTGAATGGTGAACTTTGATTCCTCCAGATTCTCTTGGCACTTGCACCAGGCACTACAAGAAGTTTTCCTGATTTTCTAGAAGTAACGTTGCACTATGAAAAGATCTTTCCCACCCTGATAGCGTGATTGCAGGTATCAGCAGTCTGAAGATTCCAAACACAGCAGTGGTCCAAAGGCAGAACAGAAAGTCAAAGGGTTTGCACAAATAACTTTTGGCAAAAAACTACCTCCTGAAATGTTAGGCTTATCAGAGGCAAAAAGATATGAACAGAAGACATGGAAAGATGTCTAATAAGGAAATAAAGGAAGGGTGAGTAGGAAAGCAAATGGCTGGAAGAAGAGCCCAAACATACTCAAAATGTTCAGTCTGTCCAGAAGGATCCTAAAAATTCTGAGAGTCTGCAAATTTTTCACTTGTCACACGCAGTTTAGTTACATGCTGCTACAAGTACGATACAGATTACTCCTGATATACGAAGGTTCTCCAGCTGAGATTTATTACAAAAGCAGCACATTGATAAAACACCGCAGGACAGGCCTGTGGTAGTAATTTTCTCTTTGCCGATTCCCTAAAGCTTAAGACTACATCCCTCTCGCTTTGCAGGTAACCTGCGGCCAGAGACATTTCTTCAGGTTCGCTTAACATTATTCCTACTTTGCATGTGAATTACCATCTTAAGGAGTGAAATGTGTGTGTGTACAAATACACACACATCCATACACATCACTACTCTGCCTACCAGGGCTGCATCACACTTTCCTGCTCTCCTTACCCTTCAGGCTGACTGAAATCTCTACTATTGTAGAATGGCTATTCTGGCAAAAACAGAAACAAACAAACAACAACAACAAAAACAATTTACAATCAATATGGTTTATAAAGTGTAACTATCTTTGCTCAACTCAGGGACAAGAGGGAAACTGTACTGAGTTTAGGACTTCTTCCTCATCCAATTTTTCTATGTAAAAATTAAATTCTCTTCAGTAAAAATGCCCAATTCTCAATCATAGGCAACTAAACAGAACACCTGAGTGGTTCAGGGTGGGTTCCATTACAGGCCAGAAATGTTCATCTGATGTCACAGTAAGGCAACGATGATTGCAAATCATCTCCTGTGGGCTGGGAGGCTTAACTAACTGCAAGTAACTGTAATAAATAATAAATAATAAAATAAAATAAAATAAAATAAAATAAAATAAAATAAAATAAAATAAAATAAAATAAAATAAAATAAAATAAAATAAAATAAAATAAAATAATGTAATAAAAGAATAGAGGTGAGTTCCCTCTATTCTTTAGAATTCATTTATATAAGCCAAGTTCTGAAGACTCCATTCAAGATTTTCTTTTTTTTTTTTTCATATTACAATTTCATGTTTTATTTCACTTTTGATTGGTTGTTGTTTGTTTAGGGCTCTCTGAATGAAAGCATTCTAGCATCGCGTTGGCATCTGCTCACATCACTTCAGCATCTGTTTACATTTTCTATAACCAAATAATACATCATCTACACTACAAAATCTGCCCTGAATCAGTAGTCACTCATTAATCACACCTACTTTATCTCACAGAAAATGCCAGAGTACACAAATAAACTTGTGGCATGCTAATAGCTCTCGTGAACTGGAAGAAGAAGCACATGCCAGGAAGAATGCAACACCAGCCTTTCACTCTCCCAAAATCCAGTTCAAACATCCTCCAACAGAAGTCCAATTACAGAACTGAATTGTGGAGATAGGAGGAAAGTAAAAGAGCCACAAAAATGTTTATTACAGTTTATAATGAGAAAGAAGCAAGATTTAAATAGTAGCATGTTGTCCCTTTAACAAAGCCAGATACTGTATGTGAGGTGATCACGTAGGTGAACTTACTTTACCACTGGAGTATACAGGCAGTGTAGTCTGCAGTAGAGTCTCACACCCTGAAGAAGGAAAAATAGATGATATTATTACTTTTTTCTTTGTCCAAAAAATGCTGATTAGCTACAGCTAGCAAAACTTGGACACTGATGTCTTTACTCAGCCAGAATTATCTATTGATTAACTGTTTTTCAAAACAAATCCTTTATCCTCTGTCAAACAATTTTTTCTTATTTCCCTGCCTCCAGAAACTGAAAAATATACTTTTATCTCTAATCAAATCCATTCCAACATTTTCTCCATTAATCCTTCCTAGCAATTAACCCATGAACCGATGTCCATAAGAAGAAATCCAATTTATTAAATAATATATGGCATATATGGGTCAGCAGAACTCATTTGACATACACTTATCAGAAGCAGCAGTTAAATATTGATATCTTCTATCTCCCTGAACCATAATGCCTACATTTTCAACAGACATGCTGCATTATGGCCTACCATTTTTTTCAGACCCTTTTTAAACTGTATTAGGATTTTAAAAAGCAGTCTTGGGCATAGTCACAACTGTATTGTTATTTATGGCTAAGCTCTGTTTCCTCTCCCTAGACTGAATGTCTCTTATGGCATTAGTATGGAGAGCTGAATACAACAAAGGTAAACAGCATTAGGGATCTCCTATCCAACAGTTCACCAGCATTTAGAGGCAGAGGAAACTCTTTGGGGGTTCTTACACAAATCACAAGAATGGTAACAAACCTTGGACATGATGTCTTCCAATTCACTTCTTGGTTTATATGTTCCATCATCATAGCGAAATCTGTACATCACCTGCTCATTCTTAAACTGGTGCTTATCTGAAACTAAAACATCAGCATGATAGTTAAAATCAGTCTTTTCTCCCCTGCTATACAGGCCAGCTGGTACTTTTGTACCTAGAGATTAATTGGTATCAGTTGGTTTCTGAAGAGAAGACTCAACTTTTCACATCTCTCCTTGTGGATTTACATGCTTCTGTGCACTTCTGAACAGTTTCACTAACAAAAGCCGTTTCCTAAAATACCATGGCTCCAGTAAAATTGAAATTTCTTCCCTTTGCATCAGATTCAATTTATGTAAAGCTTTGGAAATGGCCCTAGTGAAGGCAATTGAGGTTGTCTGATTTTTTTTGTTGAGTTTTGAATAAAGTGCCTGCAAATTCCCACAACAGTTACCACAGCAGTATAGCCTTTTCTGCAGCTGCCTAAAGTTCTGCACTTCCAAAAGCAGAGAGTATTCTGGTGGGAGGAACTACAGCTGGTGGAAGTATTCTTCTACTAAGGTCCTTGTGTTTAGTAGCGAGTTCCTTCTAAAAATTAAACAGCACTTTTGAAAAACTGCTTTTTCAACCAGAATAGCTATTCTATAGTAGAATAGCTTAAAATTCATTGGGTCATGCTATATACTAACAGCCTATAAAGACAAGCGCACAAAAGATGTTGCAGTGTGATAAGCAACCATTTCAAAAGGAGCACTGGCCGAAATCAAAGTGTTAAAAAAAAAACATATCCAGTTTCAAACAGTTTTATCCAATGGACCAAATCAGAAGAGGGTTGAAGTCCATATCCAATTAGATATAGGCTTATCCTGGCTCCATTCTAAGGTAAACTATTACAGAAGTGAAAACCTCATAGTGAAGATAGTAATTTGTGGTAGAAACTACTTGTTTCACTGATTAATAAACAGGTGAAAACTATTAGGTTCCAAAGAATATTCAAATTCAAAATAAGCAATAAAGTATCTTCCAGATTTTACAATACCCTGTGTAGAAATGCCATTGTTCACAACTTAACTTAATGGAGACCAGTTACAACTGCATAAAAAAGAGGGAGATCTGGAAAACAGCAACCCAAGCAGAGAGCAGATGAAGGTAGGGTAGCTTAGTCACAATTATCTTTTCTGCCTTTGCCAGTGGAACAAAACTGTAGCTATGCCTTTGTGCTGGAGCACCCTTTAAGATTTTGGATGCAGTATTTCACAGCATAGACTGTGTTTGATGAACTGAAAGACAATCGGGATTTTTACTATTTAAGGTGCACATTAGACTGAGTTTGATTACCCTGAGACAAGGGATTGCACTGGGTTAGAGCAACTCAGAAGTACCAGGATTCAGTTTGAGACTTAGCCTTCCCCTTGCAGAGTGGGTAGAGTGATTGATTAGAAGGCAAAAAACGGAAATTCTGAAGACTTTTCCTCATCATGTACAACACGCCGGTCTGTGAATATGTCATAAAGATTCCTATTTGTGGTGATATTTTTCACAGAGTAAAACAAAATTTGCTGGATCAGGTGTATCTACTTTTCTATATGGTTGAATCTCTGGCCTGTGTTAGACTCTCTTCTTAGAGAGTCTGTCTGCTCTGGATTTTGTGTTTTGAATTCCATTGAGAACCAGGTCTTCACAAAGTGTCTTTTGGTCTTTTGTTGCCAGCACACAGTAGATGAGGTTCTGATCACTTGTACTGTCTGTGGCAGGTACCAGAACTTGCACATCAGCAGTCCCAGATAAAAAAGACAGAATAAAAGGAGACAGAGGAAAAGGAGTGATAAAATGCACAGAGCTCAGCACTCTGCCACTCAGCAATCTTCTGTGGCCCTGCTTCTCAGGCAGGCTGAAAGATCAGCAGTTTTCACCTGACAGTAATGTTAAGCCAAGTGAAATCAAAAGATAAAAGATATTGCTTAATATAGAGGAAGGGTAAGGGCTTCATGGTGGTGCTTAAGTTTTAAGTTCTTGATATATGAGGAGACACAGAATGGAAAATTTTCTTTTATAATGATTTATCAAGATTTCAAGGGGTATTTCCTTAACTAAATGTAGCACTGCAAATACTTTCTAAGGTCTAGCGCTAACTCTCATTATATACAATAGTATCAGGACCTCAAGGTAAAGGTAACATTAAAACCAATCAGATGTGCCTTGCTCAGTGTGTTTGAATGAGGGAAGCAGTGGATATGACAGCACAACTTCCTCTGAGCTGTAAAATTTGTGTTTAGATAGGGAGGACACTGCCAAAAGGGTCAGAGTATGAAGCTGCAGCAGGGTAAACGCTCACGAAATAGCAAGTCTCAGAAGAGCTTTTTGCATTGACAGTTCAACTGTACACATTAAGAATTCAGGCAAGTAAGGGTGTGAATGCAAAAGAGTAACCTTCATTCAAAGGGGGATTCCTACACATTGAAGACAGAGCGTTCCAGTTCTCCAGAGCCAGAGTTAGGGACAAGTACTTAAAAGCATTCAACGCTTGTGACCTCGTGCATATAAAATCTCACTTGAATCTGACGTGATAGGCTTCTCCCTACACATTTTAGCAAAAACAAATATTTTGTTACCTAAGCAAGCATCAATTCCTTCCAGTCTTTGGCCTTTCTAAGTCTGAATGTGCCAAAAAGTATGTCTAGGTAACTGGGGGTAAAAGTGTACGGGTATGAAGGATTATCATGCTGCTAATATTAGATTTCTCTGTGGTAATTAAAGGAAGAAAATATACATTATTTCTTAATAGTGTTGTCACCTGAAAGACAAGTTTATGGAGATGTGATACCAAGAGATTAAAGCAATACTTGCCTAATTAAATGGTTCCCCTATTTAAATTGGTTTCCAAGAGATTGGAAATGGTCTGTATTTCTATACAGACCATTGGTGATTTGAGACCTATATGCCTTATCCCTTTGAAGTACATTTTGCAGCTAAACTCACCTGAAAACTGAAATTGGGACATTTGCTGCTTAAATAAAATATGAATGTGTTGCTCTGTCTGCATACCAAAACATGAAAATAGCAGGAAACAGCAGGAGATACCTGAAGTTAAAGGACATCATCTGGCGAAAGTCCTTGTTTAGTAGAAAGGCAGACAGCAAAGAAAAGTTTCAAACAAGTGCCTTGTGCTACCCACTGCTACATGACTTCAAGGTCATCTGCTGGGTACAATGAAGAAATATAATGCATTGCTATGTTAAAGAGAAAGACTTTTGCAAAATGAGCTGAAAATAACAAATCCCACAGAAACCTTCCATCATGTCTTCTCTCTCCAAGAAGCAGTCTCACGAGAAAGAATGACCCAGCATCTGGAGCCCCTCACTCTTTTTTACCTGTGCACCATTCTAAAAGAGTACTGCTGAACTTTTATTTGTATTGTTGATGTCCCACATGGAAAGCTGTATTAATGATCACTAAAGATTTTCAACCACACAAAACATAAATGAATACATACCTGATATAGTCTGTGTACACGACAACAAAGATATTGCAGAGAAATAAAGCAACTGCAGTCATAAATGCTTTTAGGATACCCAATGAGTCTTGTTTTAATCCCATTAATCCCAAAAGTCACTAACAACTGAGCATTTGATGGGTATAGTACAGAAAAGCATTCAAACATCATATGAACACCCGCAGTCAGTTTTCCACCCTCGTTTCCAAGGCATTATTGAAATCTGGCATCTCTTTATGGCATGGAGCACTCACCATGATGAATAATTCCATTTTCCAATAGTGCCTGTCCCAGGTTGACCCCTTCCTCAGGTTTGCTTATCTCCCCAATCTCTGTGAGCCATGATACAAACTCACTGCAAAGGAAAGCAGAACAGAAACAATTGTCTTTTTCTCTCTGAATATAAGCAGACATATACCTGCAAGCCCTCAGCCAACCACAGGTGACACCGTCCTTGAAGCATGTGTGAAAACTGTTGTGAGGAGTGATTCCTCTTCTGTGCGGCTCAGTTTTGTACATTTCTGGCAGAAATGTTCTGCAGAATATCCAGATCTCCTGTTCATGACTTTTCCCACCACTCCTCTTAGGTCATCATAATTAACAGACACACAAAATGAGGGAAGACCTTGCTGAATCTATAAAGCTGCTGCAGATCCTTACTTTATGCAGACATTTGAAAGGGAGCAGGAAAGCAACATTAACTAATGACCTTAAAAAGCTTATGCACAAAAGAGAAAACAGCTATTTCAATTCAGGCTACTCATCCAACCAGAGTTCATGGTCTGACTTCATTACATAGTTCACCTTTCTTCACTGGCTCTGATTCTTTTCCCCCTCAGTGTTGTAAGTGTGCTGGCTTTAAAAGGAATCACAGTAAGACTTAGGACAGAAGATTCAAACTCACTGAATTCAAGCACAGAACAGCACAAGTGCCCCTAACAGGTTAATTTAAGGTCATTTACTGAAGCTGCTGATGGTGAGATACATAAATGATGTTTCTAATTTACAAACAAAAGGTGCTAAGTCTGTCTGCATAAGCAGCATGAAATAAAACCTCTCTCTGGTGAGGGGCAGAGTTGCACACATGGGCAGAATACAAAACAGAAATGGATAAATACGTAGGATGTTACTCAATTAGAAACAGTAAGTACAGAAAAATTTACATTGCAAGTACTGCCAGAGCCCTAGGGGGATCAGAGTTGTTTGCCAAGTTAATTATTAATTACACTAGAAATGTGTTAAATTCATAAAGAAAGAACAAAAGGAATATATAAAGTAGCACAACATATGGGAAATCTGAGTTCAATAAACCACTTGGGTGCTTGCCAATCTGCAGAGGATTGCTGCTTATCAAAACCAGCATCCATGCCTCCAACTGTGGGCTCTAAATGAAGTATTTTTAGTCTCTTCATGTTTATCAGAACTGACTCATCTAAGCTGTAGGTAGTATTTACATCGTGCCTTTAGAATAACAACAACAACTTCAATAACAAAAACTTCAGTTTGCTGAGGGGCTACTCTGTCATAATGTAGAAGCAGCAGCAGAATCTATTCAGCTGCGCCAGGGGAATCCCATGGAAACCAGCAGATTTTGTAAAACTCCTAAAGCCGTAGGCTGTAGTGATGAGTCAGGCTCTGTATCTCAGAAGGAAAGTTCATGCTTAATTTCCCAGTGATTCTGAACTGTTTCTAAAAGCTTTCAGAAGCTGAAACACAGAACATAAACTGCAGAAGGAGAAGTAAGAATAGTCCTCCCTATCAATTACTGGGAATACAAGACATATACCCTGTGGACTGCCCCATCCCATACCTGCTGGCCATTGACAGTAATCATGTTAGGTGCCCGGGCTGATGCCCAGTCACTACATTTTCCATCAAGTGCAATACGTCTATGACAGTTTATAGCACTTAAACAACTGCCCTAAACCACAGCAGAACATTGCTGACCTCTACGTCTTTCATTTGGACCTGGAGTTTATTGGGATTCTAAATGCAAGGCAGTCATCTTAAAGTCTGAAATTGAGCATTGGAAAAACAAAAGAAGCGAATGTACTCTCACAGCTCTGAAGCTTCAGCACTATGGGATAATTTTCTTAAAATTTACTGTGAGACTTGTGTGGTATTTGATTCATAAGCAAAATCAATCATCATTTGCTCCAAAAGTTTTACAAAAAACTGTAAAGTGTGTGATCCAGAAATATTCAGAGGTGGGTTTTTTCTTAGTGTATGGTAGACTTGCTAAAAAACCATCAACTTACAAAGTGAATGGCAAAACTTGTTTCCTCATCTTGTTCTAAGCAGTTCTCAGTATAACTGAGAGCATCCCCACTTCTCTTACTGCCATGCTGAGTTCTCAGCTAGCATGCCAGCCAAGACACTATTCCCAGCTCTTCCCCTGAAAGTAAGGGACTGAGAACAGCTAGGTTTCTACTCAGGAAGTACAAAGGAAAATCCAGCTGATTCAGGGTCGTGCAATATGATCAGATATGTCTGGAATCTCTTGAGATTAACAAATTCTCTCTATCACAAGCTCAGTACAGGTCAAGGCTTTGCAATCAATTTGGTGCAGTGCTGAAAAGAAGCATGGCAAACAGATCATTTACATATACTGGCTTCAACACCCAGACTGCAGATCGTATCACCGCTCATATGCCTCAATGCCAGTACACCCAAAGAGTGGTCAGGAAAAAGGATTTGCAGACCAGTGCCATAAACAGCCTTATAAATAAACGCATGATATTTCTAAGGTTGTTAGAAGTAGTTCATGCTTTTTTTTTTTTTTTTTCCACTACAACCACATTTTATTTCTTGAATTATTAGATACTATCTAATATCCAAAGGCCAAGAGAAAAATTACTTTTGTGGCCTTAGTGTTACTCTCAGCTGCATTTACCAGAAAACCACTAAGTACATCTCAGCACACTCCTTAGTTTCTCCCTGTCGTGGTTTAACCCGGCCGGCAGCTAAACACCACACAGCCATTCGCTCACCCTCCCCCCTCCCTCTCTGGGACAGAGGAGAGAAATGGAAAGTGAAGCCCGTGAGTTGAGATAAAGACAGTTTAATAAGACAGGAAAATAATAATAACAATAACAATAACAATAATAATACAACGATGATAATAGTACTACTACTAATAATGTGTACAAACAAGTGATGCACAACGCAATTGCTCACCACCCGCAGACCAATGCCCAGCCTAACCCCGAGCAGTCTGACCCCCTCTCCCGGTTAGCCACCCCTATATATTGTTCAGCATGACCCCAGATGGGATGGAATACCCCTTTGGCTAGTTTGGGTCACCTGTCCTGGGTCTGTCCCCTCCCAGCTCTTGCTGCACCCCCATCCTGCCCATTGGCAGGACAGAGCAAGAAGCTGTGATGTCCTTGGCTCAGTATAAGCACTGCTCTGCAACAATTAAAACATCGGGGTGTTATCAGCACTCTTCTCATCCTAAGCCAAAACATAGCATTCTACCAGCTACTAGAAAATTAACTCTGTTCTAACTGAAACCAGGACACTCCCTTAGGCAGAAATATCTGAAAAAAAAAAAAGAATAGGTCACAGCCAAAACGCATTGTTCAGGGCAAGCCCTGGGAATGATATGAAAAGTCTGTGAGTCATGACTGCATTGCAATGACTGAGTTGCACTCAACTGAGTTGCCCAGGACTGCATTAACAAGCAACTCAAAAGACATCAGCAGAAGTGTTTTTGTTTCTTTGTTTGTTTTGTTTTGTTTAGAATGGCAGAGGCTGGAAAATTAGCCAAAATAATGCTTTTGTCAGAGATCAGGATACCTGTAGGCACCTCAGCCTGGTCAAATCTCCACAAGAGGTTTTCATATAGCAATAACATTACCAGCCTATGCTACTAGACTGTATTCTGTCAGGCTGAAAGCCAAAGCATCATTTCGGCACCCTGTAAACAAGGAGTGCTGCCTGCAAAATGCCATTACAGAGACCACAGGGAAGGAAGGGAAATTAATGGATAATCTTTCGTTTTTGTCTGCTGCACTGGCAAACAGGATATTCAGTCCTGAGAGCAGGACAGCTCTGCTGGATTTAAACCTTATCTGGTCAGCATCTACTTGCATACAAAAGAGGATACAGGTTAGGCCACTAAGAGCCCAGAGCTTGTGGGAGTTAAGATACTTTTTTTACTCCTTTGGCTGATTTGAAACAGCTGTTGTGTGTTACTGTACAACAGAAGAAGCTGTCACTGTTCAGCATAAAATAGAAATTGGTGATTAATTTTAATAAAAATTGTAATGGGGGTTAGGCCTTTTCAATTAAGCTCCATCAAAGCACATCTAATCTGACCTCACAATGCCATTCGCAGAAAATTCAGAGTCCATTCTTTAATTGCTATGAAAAGGGCTTTTCAATTCAAATGCCACTTACTTGCCAAGAAAGCACTTGGGAACAGTACTTAGTTTTCTCCTCCTGTCTTTGATAAGGTTCACTTTCTTGCTCATCATCATTTGGTACAGCTTCTCTCCTTTCTCTGCAATCATGACGTATGCATCCCTCTCCATTCCCAGTTTCAAACCTGGAATACAAAGCAGGATTTCCTTCAGACCCTTAGCATTAGAAAAAAGTGGTTCCTCAAAGTCAAATGCTGAGGCCAAGCAGACAGTGATAGAAACACAAAAATGAAGAGGTTTATTTTCCAAATAAAAGGGAAATTGGATCACTTATTGATCTGAGTGCAAATCTGTCATCGGTGCACGTAGCACGTCAGAGAGGTTCACAGCTTTTCTTCCCAGTTTTTAAAAGTACCTTTAAGCTTATGGGCCCATCACAGCACAGAAGTAGAATGGTTTACAGAACATGGATAAGTTCCAAATAAAGAGAGAGAAAATATATACCTTTTGAAACTGAATTCTTGTTGCAATTTCACTTTTGACCCTGAAATAACTGCCTTCATAAGGCGTGTTCAAGGCACCTCTATGCTTGACAGAGCAGATGACTTTTTGAGTGTTCTATTACTTGAAGCCAAAAATACAGAACTGCTGACATCAAATTCACATCATCAAATAAATCAGAGGTAGACGGGAACATTATTTTCTCATCCTTTCTTAATTAGCCTATTTACTAATACCCCTAGGCTAAAATTCAGTTTGAAAATCCTATTATCCAGTCATTGAAAGAAATACTGAGTGATTTAAGGAATGATAGATAATTGGATACAGAGAAAATTTCACCTCCACTTTGTATGAGTTACCACATAGCACGTTAACTTTCAAAGTGGTATAGTCAGGAGGAAGATCTCTGAAAAGAATAGCTTTCTATGTTACAATAACTGTCCTTGTAACTCACATTTTCTGACATTCTTTAAATTTGTCAAAAAAGCCTGGAAAATGAGTTTCGTCTACAAATAAAGTGCAAATTGCTTTAAGAGGACAGCACATTAAAAAAGTTGCTTTGCTGCAGAAAACGCTTTGTCACTTCTAGCCTGAACTAACCATTTTGTTTTCTGGCTATGCTTTGCTACATATACGTTTCCTAGGCATATATGTGCATGTATGTAAATCATGGATTAGATTTAGATAGTCTAGTGCAGGTCCAAAATTGAATCGGACTCAGCTGGGGACCTGAAATTGCACATTTGAACTTTTCAGAGAGAAAGGCATGAGCCTCTTGAGTTTCAAACAAGTGCTCTGAATGCTGTTATGCTTGTGCTTTTTTTTTTTTTTCCACTCCTCTTTCCTGTATCTCACCAAAAATCACCTGACATGCAGAGTATTGAAAATACAAATCTCTAAGTGCATTAGCATAACTAACTAACAGAGCAGGAAGCAAGACTCGGCAGACATTTGTTCTCCTAATCATGTTTGAGTCATGACCAGGACTCTTCTGAATACAGGCAGCACAAATTCACTTGCAGACCTAGGGAACTCTGAGTCTGAAACAGTCTCGTAGTTTGGGCATCTCTAAGATCAATTCAAAGTCTGAACTGGCCTTGGATTTACTTGCCTAACTTTTACAGAGACTGACATTAGGTAGAGTTTAAGTGATCAGTGCAAGGCTAGAAAATGAAAACTGTTTATTTGTTGGGAATAGCAGGTCACCTAACTGCATTTACATTCTGTTGCTTTATGGTAAGATACTGAACTTGTCAAATTAACAAATGAACAGTCTTCTGTGTCACATCAGAGCTGCCTTCTAGCTTTCTCAGAATGCTTAATGCATTTGTTTTAAAGGCTTGACATGCATATTCCAGGAATTAGTCTTGTGCAACACTGTCTTTCAAATACTGCATTTCTTGCATGTGTCAGATATGTGGCTACATGTTTTGGCTCTACAAATCACCTGGTTTATTGCTGTTATTCTTCCATCATCTTCCCCTAATGATTTGATCCAATTCAATGCAAATGCTGACACAGGTAGCCGAGGCTAATTTGCAACATGAACTCGTGATAGAAACCAGCCTGTGTAACAGTACACTTCTCATGTGGTCTTACATCACCAAATTCCCCAGGCTCTGATGTAAATGGCAGGCTGGAAAGCACATTCTACCCAACTCATCCTACAGAATTGGGAATCCCACCAAACTTTCTAATCCAAACACAGATAGCTCTATGACTTTGCAATTACTCGGATCCAAAGGAGATTTTACAATAAAGTCTGGAATGTCTGCCAGAATATCCGTGCTTATCCATGCTCCTGTCAGCTGCCACATCATAAAGCCACATGACAAAAAATGTCAGAAAAAAACAGAGTAGCCAACGCTGCATGGAAAACTTTGACAAACTTTCTATTAACGAACAATTCCTTTCCCTTCCTGATATTTCACTCACCTAACTATATTCTCAAGCTCCCTGATAGTATTTGGTTTGTTTTCTTAGTTCAGTCTTTTTACTTCTTATCGAAATTCTCTTTCCTCACACATTTTTCTTGAGGCATAGGAAATTCCACAGAGTGCTAGTGACCTCATAAAGAAAAAACTCACTCTGAAATGAAGACTCACTGGATCTTTTGGAGATATGATTTAGCACTCTGAGGGTAAAACTAAGGGCCAAGAAATGTATTTTATTTAAAACATGCAGAACTGCAGCATTGATCAATGAGTACAGATCAGCAACTCAGAATGTTAAAATATTTCTTTAAAAAAAATCAAAACTGATTCTCTCCGTTGCATTGAGGTAGTTCTTTTGAATTCACACTGTGCTTGATCTACATTTGTAGTGTAGTATCCTTGCTGTTATCAAAAGGTGCATAACATGATAAGGTATGCTAGAAATATTTTACATTCTGATAATGTAACACTGCAATGTGATTTGTGTTTAGCAGATTAGGTGTTTTTCTGCTGCAAAATATTGTAACATAAAAAATAAGGTTTGGATTGCAAAGGACATTAAAGGCTTTAGAGTCCCCGCTTTCATTGAACTTCTGTGACAGATCTGTAAGTTTCTTAAACTTTAAAAGTTCTTTAAAAATTTAAAACATTATAGCATAGCAAGTACAAGTTCTAAAAACATACTACTGATAACAGGGTTCAGACTGACCTCTTTCAATACTGGCATGGATGAGCAATTAGATCTTTAATGGAGTGGTATCTGCACATAGGGGAATCCCTTCTAAAAGTCAGGCACAGAACATTTTAAAAGAAATGTCATTTCCTCTGGCAGTGAGCTACTATTGTTTCCATTCAGCAAACAGGGAACTAGGTTTACTTGTGAAAGATACTTCTGAATTAAAAAGGAACTCAGAACTTTTACCACCCACTGATTCACAGCTTTCCAACCCTGCTCCTATTTATTGTACAACATAATTTTAAGATAAGCTTAGTTCTTCTTTCATTCCACGAGAAAAGATAAAAGTGACAAGCACCTGCACTCATTTGTCACTGCTCAGTCTAAATTTAAACATTTCTCTTTTTTTCCTCCATGAGCTGTTCTGCTTACTTTGAGATCATGTCTTTATTTTACTAATATATTTATTTTACTTTTTAATACAAAACATTTTTATCTTATTTACAAATTAAAAATTAAAAAAAAAAGTTTAATTTTTTTCAGTAGCTTAATGCATCAAAGAAACCGACCCTTTGGTAAGTGAAAACAATTTGATAAATATTACTAACACAAGCCCATAAAATAAATAAAAATTGCACATATTCAGAAACAGTTATTTTCAATCACTTGAGTTTCCTTGTCATTAAGGATAGATGTTAAGTCTTTCTCAAAACATGGAGGAAAAACTGCAACCTTTTCTCTTCCTCTCAGACTTATTTCCACATGCCAATTAATTTCTCCTTTTTACACAAATTCATTCGATGCATTAGAAAATACTTTATCCACTTACTCTCTCTCTGCTCTCTTTCCTTGATTATAGCATCCAGCCATTTCTGCTTGTCCTCTGCAGTCTTGGCCATACAGACAAACCATTTGTTTTTGGCTGTGTTGTGTATCTTCCAGCCATTTGTCACCGTGTAGCCGTTGCTGTGGTAATCTGCTGTAAAATCCCAAAGCACAATACACACGATGAATAGAAGGCCTGCTTCTTGAATCAGATCAGTGTGCAACACCTTTATTAAAATGCTCTTATTTGGAGAGCTTGATTTTTGAGGTGTTCCTTATGCATCAGTCTTACTGACTGTCCATGTGGCTGGCTGTTACTTACCACCCTGGAAGTACAAACACTAATAGGAGTATCTATGCCTGTGTTGTTCAGTTTGAAAAATCTGTTCCCTGTGCAAATTATGTAAAAAAGGTCTGTAATCAAGGATCCCTGTGACTCCAGGGCAGTGAAACCTCGTATTTGGAAGAGCCCTGACAACTTTTCTCATGAAAATCCACAGTGGGCACACTAATGACTGAAGTTCTATTCAAATAGATCACCATATTCCTATTCCTTAGCACAATACTTCGCCCACAAAGCTGTCTTCTCTACAGCTTCAGTCCTAAGAGGTGCAACCTTTGTGGATGAAATCATAAACTCATCAATTCTTCCAGCTTGTGTCAGGACATGCAACAGCTATTCCCATATTTCATTCTCGGCTACATTCCATGCTTCTGATTTGATGCTAAGACTAATATTTGGTAGTATTCTAAACTAGAAGATGACCTAGAAGTTCTGTTATTTTAGCTATAATAGCTTAAGATGTAAGAAAAGAAAGAATGGAAAGAAGTTTAAAAATCTTTTACTAAATTAACTTGGATTAAGAGAAAAAATAGACAAGCTTCTGGATACATAAACTTCGTAAGGTCATTTCAGAATGAAGGACTAATGCCTGAAAGTATGACCAGTCTTTCAGCTGTGTGAGTTGGTCTAAGAATGAAGACATGGGATGTTACACAACTACCTAAGACTTCATTAAAGGAGAAGGATGAATACTTTTGTGCCGATTTCCCACACAAGATTTGGACTTTCTGTGTTGTTAAAAGACAGTATTTCTTCTCTTACCTGTTCCATCCTCCACATTCTCCACCTCCATGACTTCTGTGTTTATTCGGCCTCTGAAGATATAAAGGGACCCATTGATTGACTTTGTCCGTTTAGATGCTTTTTTCCCAGCAACTCTGCAATTAGGATTTAGACTGTTAGATACACATTAAAAAATAGCATAACATATATGCAACACAGCTTGTTTTGGATTCAACGGGCGCAGGAAACAAGAGCACAAATCAATCCGAGATATGACTATTAAAAAAGGATTTGAATATAGAGTGTCATGATATATGGCCACACTCAGATTGTAAGTAACTTGAATACTCAGTCAGTTCACAAATAAACATGTGCAACAGTATCAGTACAGCAGGAAAGGGCTTATTTTACAAGACTATGTGAAGATTGGGATGTATTTAAGATTTACATTCTTTACAACTGACTGAAATGACAGTACAACTGAACTGCACGTGGGTTTGGGATAAGAACTGCAATATCACCTGAAAAAAGGTTACATTTGCCTCCTTTTTGCCTACAGCTTTGAGAAACTTGTGGTAGGTGTATGAAGTTCCAAATATGAAATGAAGCATACAAAGAGGCTGGTATCACATGGTCTGTCACATGTGTTCAACGTCTCTGCATGTGGCATCTGATTTTTATGTCTACAATAGGTTTAAAACTATCCGACTGACACCTGCCGAGCTTTAATATATAAGAACAACCCTGCTATGTGAACCGAAACATGACTGGTCAAATGATCACCGTTTGAGATGGCAGGTGTCCAAACTCTGTGCAGTGAGGGAATTGTGGCAACTTGCCAGGTGCTCATAAGATCCAAAGAGCATTGAGGTAAAAAACAGCTGGAAAGAAGATTTCTGTCAAAGTGAAATATTTGTGATAAACTGAGGTGCGATGAGAATCACCATGCTTTTTTTCTGAACAATATTTCCTTTTACAACTAGTTTAGGTGACAAATATACCTTTGGTGATGACCATATATTTACATCCAATCAGACCGACAGGGACTGAGAGCTTGGAGCTATTAGATCATTTCCTAAAGATGTCTGTTAGAGTCAGGAAAAAAAAAAAAAAAAAAAAAAGAGCTGTACTGGCAGCCTTATAAAACTCTTTAAATACTCAGCCCACTTCCCCACATGAAACATATTGTTCCTAACATCAGGATTCAATTTAAACAGCAGTCTATGATACCACTAAAAACACAAAATAATACTCAGCTCTGAAAAAAATCTATGTCATCAGTCTGTCAGGCTTCCCAAAGCTTCTGCAAAGGATGAGACTGCAGTCTTAGATCTAAAATCACAGTTCTAATTCTGATTTTAAACTCGTTTTGAAACAGTCTCAACAAAGCTACCTCCAATTTATGCTGTTGTGAGGAGATGATGCCCAAATTCAAATGGCTGCATTGTTGACTATTTACTGAAGATCAAGGGCACAATTCTGACTGCTCTTTTTGATCAAGGAAAACTCCAGTGATTTCTACAAGCATGGTATAAATGGGATAAGAACCAAGTCGCTCAATTTCAAATTGCAAACTGACGAAGGGTGTGGTTTCTTTTTGGTTTGTTTGTTTTTCTTCCAAAATCTGTGTTCCACTAACATGTTGGTTGTTCATCAAGCACCTGGTCAAATGATCACAGCAGCACAACTGGATAGACATTCATTTCCATCCTGGACTAATTACAAATAGCAGCTAGACAGAGGAAATATCCAAAACTAAAGTCACTCAGCAATCCCTAAATATATATTTTTCATTTGGCAATTACAAACAGACAACACAATTCAATTCACAATATTCAATTTTTTTAATGGAAATCAGATTCTGGGCATTTCATCAGCCTAAGATACATTATTAGACAAAGATAAACAATATCGATCCTTTGGGGAAATCAAAGTGCTACAGCAGCCTCCTCGGAAATCAAGCCAAACTACAGAGCAGCTCAGTAACATTACTGTACAAAAACAGAGGGTTGCTTAAAAGGCAGCAGAACATTTTGTTTTCTAAATCTTAGTATTCTGGGAAAAATGCCTGGACAGCGGGAGGGGCTAGGCTAACCTGAACTACAAACAGGACTAGAAAGACAGTTTTTAAGAGCTCTGAAGAATCGAAGAATTAGATATCAAGTTGATTTTTTAAAGGAATAGTTTTCTTTTAGACAACTCTAATTTCTGAACTCTGTTTCATATGAAAGAATGAATTGTGATAAATTGGTGAAGTGTCAAAATAAAGTATTTTTTATTTCTTGCTTTATTTCAGCAATGTCAGAATGCTTCAGTTAGTTGACATTAGAAGTCATTTAAGATTAAAGTGCTATTTTTTCTTTTAATTTAAATATTTATATTACATTGTAATAATTTCTAATATAGATTTCACTTTAAAATTGTATTTTACATTATAGAGTTTCACTATTATTCACACAAAGTATGAACACTAGTGTCATGATTTTTTTCCCAGCTTAACAGTTCCAAAATTTTCATGAACAAAAAAAATGGAAATTTAACCCACTTTTTGAAACAGAAGAATTTTCTTTGGATAAAACACTCTAGTTTTTGAGAAGTTCTAACTGGTTTGGCCATTCCACTTGGTCATCGCCAGTAAAGAGGTATAAACTGAAGAAGAGGGAGGATATTACAGGAAGGAAAGGAAGAGGAGAATCTGAATAGTAGAGGATATATGACAAATCCAGAAAAAACCAAGACACAGGAATGACACTAGAAGTGTGGAGGTGAAAAGCTTTAGAACTGAAATACGTTATAATTGCTGCAGAAGAAAATTGCCTTCCTCACTGCCAACACTATTTTAATAATAAGTAGTAGGTGTTAATAATGCTTAAGTTTTATAAGGTAAAATGATACAAAAATAGCCACTAGCATAAGAAAGGAAGACTATGCACAAAGCATATTGGCTGCAAATAATGAACAGCAACTTGCTGCTCATCTCTTCCTCTTTGCTCTGTGCCCTGCATCCACCTAATGTTCTCTTAGTCTTCCATTTTCCCCTTTCTTGGCTTTCTATCATTTTTCATGTCACCCTTGTCTGCTCAGAACAACCTCACAAAACAAGTTGGCAAGGCCTGCTTCTTCACATCACTCTTGGAGATCCATCTGCTCTGGGAAGCTTTCCAGCTGTAAGAACTCACTTAGTGATTTTTTTTTTGCACTGTATCAACTTCTTTATTTGGATTGTGTGCTTCTCAAAGTGGGGACCCCATTAATCTCTGGCATATTTATCTTACCATGTAGTAATTTCCTCCTCACGTAGTCTAAGCAATAGCAACAGTCAAAAACAGAGGAAAGTCACACCTGTGACTCAGCCTTACATAGCAACAGGGAATACATGTACAGTGAGTGATTAGTAATTGACCATACTTCCCATGTGCAAAACCTCCGAACCTCCATTTATAAAACCTCCATTATAAAAGCAGAGGGACTCACCTGGATTTCCTCTTGCAATAGACGAGTAGATTATCAAATAGAAAGAACATTCTCTCTTGGATGTTCCCTGCTGAGATTTTTAACAAAGTCCCTTGGAGCAAGAGCTGTGTGCAGATATCTGTAAGATTCGATCCCTGAAACAGAAAAGAGATCGTTTATTTTTCACTTTCTGTGTGCACACAACGAAGCACTTTTACTAAAGCTCTGTTATTTTATCTGTACATCATTAAACTGCCAAATGATTGATGCACTTAGGAAGATGAAATCCTCCATTTCTTATTGCAACTAAACACATCATGCCTTTTCTGGGTTACAAATACTTTTTTACAAATCCTCATATTCTGTGATAAATATTCCTTAGATCCAAGAGAGTTTTCCTTAGAAAAACCTTTCATTCTCAAAGCAGTTGTTTTGTGAGTCTCTCAAGACCACTAGTCTTCCATTCATATCCTAAGTATTCACTCAAAATATGACAAGTGATGGCTTTAGGAAAGCTTTATTAAAAAAAAAAAAAAAAAAAAGTGGTATTTCTCTAACATTGTAGATCTGATTATGGCATAAGTCACTGTTAACCATCCCAATGGAAAATCATCTGAGTGGTGATCTCTCTCTCCAGCTCTTCTGTTAGAAGTACATGCAGCTGCTCTCCTTTCTAGAGCTCTAATGAACGCATGCAAGTCAGAAATGTAGCCATGAAAACCACAGGTCAGGTCTTGGACACTGTGCTAGGTGCAAGGCATCATATGCACTGAACTGCAGATATGCAGATAACTGAGCTTGATGCTCAAGCCATTCAATCACATGAGGATCCCTGCAAACTGAAAACCAAAGTGGATTACTCTAAACCATTCAATCCCCAAATTGTTATTCAGATTATTCCTAGGAAAAGTAATCACATAGTCCTTCAGATGGGAGTTTTAGGGCCAATGCAGTTGGGCACAAATGAAAACCAACCATGGGATTGTCCTGGGTCACTATCAGAACATGCAAATTCCAAGTGTCTGCTCATTCTGAATGAGCACAGTTGAGAATCTGCTCTTCAGCTGCACCACTGACCAAACAAGATAGGTTTGACTAAACCCTAGGCACTCGTCCCTTGGTCTACTCTTACTTCAAAGGTACAAGATCATCACATCAGGAAAAAAAAAAAAAAAGTTTCTTTTCAGGAAAACACATGGAGACGTAAGAAACATTTACTACTCAGTCCTGGAACACTTAATATTTTTTGCATTTCTTTTTGAGTTGGAAGGAAGAATAATTTAGGGTAACAGTGTGGGTTCCCTCACATGGTTGGCATGCAGATAAGGGAGTCAATCAGATAATGTGACCCATTGTCTTGAGTCTTACTGGAAAAGAGAACTGACTTTGGATTGCATGCCATTCATTATCAACAAAACTGCTTGATTTGCAAAGGTCCATTAACTTTAATATTCACAAATACCACAAAAGACTTGTAAAATGTAATTCAACCCACTTACAGAAACTGAAGACATCTCTCTGAACAGGCATGAAATCCAGATCTATCTAGAAAGTCACCCCAAAACGATTTGTTTGAATGATTTTAGACATTGTATGAGAGAATATTTTTCAGGAAGGCGCAGTCTGCTACCATTAAGCTATTCAGGGAAAATCACTGAATTGAAATCAGCCTTTCTAAATGTAATGCAGTCACTTTAAAGGTGTGAATAAAGTTTTAATGACATTGTTTTCTAAATCAACCCTTGCAAGCTGTGCTATATCTTGCTTTTAGTTAACAAGGAATCTGCTATTCTTTAAAGGCTGCCAACTACGGACATCAGTTTTGTGTATTCCACATACATGTATGTCTTTCTGTACTTTGGGGATGTACTTTAGTCATGCAGGAGCTAGCTCGACGCAATATTTCCATCCTGCTGCCCTGGTATGTTTTTTATTTTTTAAATCCACCTATAGAAATACATATCCAGGAATGAGCACTTGTTAATTTGAAAATGACCTGCTGACCATGACTATCTACATGGGAATTCACTATATATCAGAAATATAACCCCAAAGCCAAGTAACACACACACAAATAGGAACAGAAACCAACCAACTGTATAACATAGAAGCATGTTCCCCACACAGGTTTGCCCATGTAGAAATCAAGGCGTCATAGCACCTCAGCATCAAGTACTTAATTCACTAAAAGCCACACAGAGGAAGCAAAAGCAAGGAGCACAGTGATATCAGTAATTGGACTTAATCTTTTACTGTCACTAGAATTACTAGGTAAAATTATCTGGCCTATTTTGTACAGGAAGTGAAAGCATATAAGTTGGTCCTCACCTTAAAATCTAAGAATCTTTATTTTTCCATCAGACCCATCATGATGGTATCTGAACATCGCTGATGCACTTCCTGTTTGCTGTTGGCCTAGCTACTTCCCATTTATACCAATCTGAGAGTTTTTTTCAATAGTAAGAAACAGAGCAGGAAGATTTATATTATGTTTTCAGAGACAAGAAAGGATTTCTCACCTTTCTAAGTAGGACCAAGCTGCAGGCAAAAAAAAGAAAACATCATAGCTGGTGGAATTGCAAATTACAGCCAATTATAAAACACTTGATCTGCCCAAGCGCTAACACATCTTACAACTCATGCTGTTCTGTGATGGGGGTTTTGCTTCCCTAAACATTTCAGACTGGGAGAATGTGTGGATTCTTCATGTAGCAATTCCGTAGTAAAAATAATTCACAAGGATTCATGAGGAGGAGCTCACCCCACAGAATAATCAACATGTAATTAACAGATTCTTCACTAACCATACAAAAACATTTTACAAAAAAGCTGGACTTCTCATGCATCCTCTACTTTTTTCCCCCTTTATTAAACTAATATTTGTTTCCCAGAAGGATTAACCAGAATCAAATTGGCCTGCCTAGACTACTCCATAAAATACAACTACAAGGATTCTGTGCATTCCAGAAGGATGAATCTGAGAGAGTTCATTTAGATGAATAAAACTCTGATCAAGCCGCGGGTCTTCAAAGGCTCCCCAGGCTTGGCTTACTTTAACATGACCCATCATTATAATATGTTTCAGAAAGAGACTGATAGGATGATGCCAGCATATGATAGTGAGAATGGTTGTATTCGAGAGACAGACAGACTGGTAGGCAGAGATTTTGAAGGAAAAATGAGGAACCAAGGCAAATGCTCAAGAAAATAACTACTGCTCTTAGTGAAGCTAGAGATGACCCTTGGGAGCAAGAAGAGACATGGCAGACGTCGAATGATGTTACGTTGTTCCTCATATTGGAAATGTTGAGGGTGGCGCTGATGGCAATGAGATGAAGATAGGTCAGGGATGGTCCCACTGGGACAGTTGTAAGAAAGCATCTGGTCATAGAAACCAGTGAAACTGTGCTGGTTTGGTTAAACAGATACTCTAGGCAAGGTGGAGCCTGTTCCAAATTAAGCGAAAAAATTACTGCCAAGCTTCATGTTGGGCTACTTGCATATTCCACAGTCAGGATACCTCTCAGATAGTCATAAAGAACTTGGTCGTAAGTAAGCTGAAGTTTACTTCTTTTTGACAATTTCAATGGCTTGTACTAAAACTGCTGGAAGCTATGGACCTTATCAGATTAGTACGCGGTAAATAACCATACATACAGGACATAAACATTTCAGAATCTAAAACCATGATAACAGAGAAAGAGATTTTCTATTTTCTAGGAGAGATTACCATCAGATGAACAGAAAATCTGAATGTGACATTTGCCTTATACACTTTCTCTAACAGACAGCTCTGTGGTTTGCATGGTTAAGTTAAAAATGTTTTTAATTCATCAGTTGCAACATTCCACAGGATAGGAGTTAGGAACCCTTCTCACAAACTGTGATATCCATCTGAAAGAACTGAAAACAGTTTTTTACTAACATACCACTTTGCACAAAAGTCTTAATTTGCAAGACTACGGCACTGTGGCAACCAAAAGATAAGACACTGTCATTCAGTTTCAAATTGCTTTATGGGCACAAAAGAAAAAACGTGATCGTGTTTAGTACTAGTCTACATCTATGTTATAAAGCTAGCTTGCCTCCTCTCAATATGCCACAAGGAGATTCAGTAACTTTCCACGGCTTACTACTAGTAGTCAAAAAAAACACTTCTCCCTTTTTGAACTTTTGGAGTGAGTGACATAAGTGACTTTGTTACATATAAACAAATCTAAATGGATTTTCAGGCCCAGAATGTTGCTGTGAATTAGTACCCCATCTCCCACCCTCAACACTGCAATAAGTTTGATACCACTTCATTTATGACATCGTGGACACTTTCAGAGCCATGTTTCGAGCTCTAGAGCTCAAACCATGCCTCTTGCCTAGAGGACCCACAAGTTGCATTGAACCTGACATGGTTTTAGCTGCTTCTGGAAGTCCTGCTATATCAAATATTACATGACCTTCTTTGTTTGTTGAGCTTGCTATCCAAAAAATAAATACACAGCTGGATATCTGGGTTGCTCTCGTGTCTCTAGCTGGATGCCAAGAACATCCTTAAGGGAAAAAATGAGCAAGGTTTAAAATACACACGAAATACAGAAAAAACAACCCAAAAAAGATTTGTGGAGAGCACCCAAGACTCCAAACATGAGGAGGTTTATACGACCTCTAAAAATATGTCCTCAGCTGGCAATGATCAGCATCAATATTTTAAAAGTCAGTCTTGCTAAATGCCAATGCCAATCTCTTTATGACACCATTTAACACCACTGACTCCCTGTGGTACACCTCCCAGAGGCTTCCAGCTCCACTGACTCAAGGGCCTCAAGTAAAGTCATCACAAAATAAGCTGCCAACCCTTTTGTGCATCATCCTGACTTCCCAGTATTTCTCCTGGGTGGCTCTTTTTTTCAGATTTCCTCTGTCCCCAAGCTTCGTATCTCAGTTATCTCCCTCTCTTTATTTTTCTCTCTTCCAGAGTACATGCTTCCACCTATACAGATACACCTTCTGATAAACACATCACTATGAACACATCTGTGAAAAACTTAACTGGAGTAAATACAAATATACTAGTTGCTTTCTAACTGAGCCTTTATCTTTTATACAGGAAATCTGTAGGAAGCCAACTTTCAAAGCTCCCACAAAAATGAAAGGCTTGTAGGAAAGAAAACAGAAGCTTGTGTTATTTAGACCACTCCTGATTTCATCTTCTAGTTTTGTCCTTCAAATGAAACCTGACCATTTGAAATTTCAGTCCTTGCCAGCTCTAGTACCTTTCTTTATTTCATGATCTGTTTCTTCTGCTACAATTTAGCAGCAGCAGCCTGCACTCCCCAAAATAAACATTGAATTCTAAACCTGTCAAAGTGATGCCACCCACAGCTTCTAGTGCATTTACACATCAGAAGTCCCTGAACACAGTATGAACCACCAAACTTCAGCCCACTAAACCATGCAGTAAATTGTCTCCAGAGGGCTTGCTAATCCTGCGTCATACCTCCCATCCTTCAATGTGGGACTGCAACTGTTCAAGGGCTTCCAGTTTCTCCATCTGTCGCTTGGTCTCGTTGATATTTGTGCAGACCGTCTTCATTGCCTGCAATGCATTCTGGACAGCTGGGTGATCAGGATGCTTAGAGGGAGTCCTCTTAGCCAATTCCTTCGGAAAAAAATAAAAAATAAAAAAATTAGAAGTTGCATGTGGAAAGCAAACAGCATGAAAGTGCAGTCCTGCAGGAAAATGACAATAATGCAGTAGAATTAAAGAAAATTTGTGGGTACGTTACTGTAGATACTGTTCTCTGCTCTTCATGTGTACAGGGTTGCTGCTTAATAAGTTAAGGAATTACTTACATTAAATATATCAGATTAAAAGAGTTCAAGCCACATATGTTTTGCTGTATCATCACATACATTTGCTTCTAACATGACCCGAGGCCAAATAAATTAAAATAAATTATTACATAAAAACCACACTGTCCACATCACACATGCACTGGCCTGTTGACCTAGACATGGTCTTCATCCTATACCATTTCCAGTGATATACATCCAACGTTACACTGAAGCTGCGCTGGGCCCCATCATGATCTGATGAAGACTGTCCATAGCAAGTCTCGTTAAGAACAACCAGAGCTATGGAAGTTGGGTTTTGTGTGAGGAATAGCCTTACAGGAACACTGCTAGGCTGTATACGCCGTACACAGTACTTACACAGATGGTCAGGTGTAGACTAATCCTGAAGGTGAAGCTTCAGGACCTAGTTGTTTAAATCTATAAACAGCAAAAAATGCTACTAGATCCACCTCAAACCGGAAGGGCCCTCATAACAAGCCTCTTTCCCTTGAATATGGCAGGATCCCAACGTGACGCCACCCCTAACCTAGACTCCTCAGAGTACAGGTGTCCTCTAAGGGGAGGTGAGGAGCTGCCTCCGGCCCGGCACTGCCAGTCCCACTCACAGCTCTGCCCCATGAGCGTCAGCAGCAGCCTGCCCTGGCAGCCAAGAGGGCAAACCACATTTTGGGGTGTGTTAAACACAGCACGGCCAGCCGGGGAGCTTTTCCCACCACCATTCCTGTCAGTGCAGCCTCACTTCAATATTGTGTGCAGTTCTGGGCTCGATGGTATAAAAGGATGTTAAGGTGCTTGAAAAGCACCCAGATCAGGGTAACAGAGCTGGAAGGCATGCCCTATAAGAGAGCCTGAGGGCACCTGGGTAGTCTAACCTGAAGAAAAGAAACTGAGAGGTGAGCTTGCTGCTCTCTGCAACTTCCTGAGGAGGGGAAGCCGAGAGGTGCTGGTCTCTGCTCCCTGGTCACCACAGGACATGTGGAAATGGCACAAAGCTGTGCCTGGGGAGGCTTAGAGTGGACATTAAGAAGAATTTCTTTACCATGAGGGTATAACATACTTGGGTTTTTGGTCAGCCCTGAAGAGGTCAGGCAGTTGGATTAGATGATCTTTGAAGACCCCTTCCAACTGAACTATTCTATTCTATTTTATCCTATCTTAAACGTGCTTAAGAAAGGGCATGCCCCTTCCCCCAGTCATGTTGAGGAAGGGAGTTAGGGAGCTACTGGGTGGACAGCCAGAAGCCAGCCAAGGTCAATAACCACACTCAGGTAAGTGCCTATAGCTCTGGGTAGTCAGTCTGCATGTCCAGAAATCCCAGTGAAAGTCACTAGCTACAGGTGTCCCATGTTTGTTTGTTTTGTGTGTGTGTGTGTGTGTGTGTGTGAGGGATGTACCATGCTCATTTTATCAAGAAGAAAAGGAACACAAGAGTAAATTGTCCAAGAGCAAGCCACTTGCAGAACCAAGACTTTTTAGCGCTCAGTGCTTTTACCTCCAAGACAGGCACATGGCAAGTGGGGAGGGCTTCCCAAAAGGCAAACATGATGGCATGAGAAAGAGAAGTGCCAAGAGAACAGCAGGAGTTTAGCAAGGACTTCTCCTCACCTCTAGGAGGCTGTGGCATGTGTTTTGACTGGAGAGAGTAACAGAGAGATGAACAGCTTGTCTGCTCCCAAGGAGTTCATACGAGACTGCTTCACTTGACTCAACATGCAATATCCCATAAACACTGCCCGCTGAGGAACAACAGGATTAAAACTTGGGACCTGACAACATCTACCAGAGTTTGGCAAAAGGAGCAACCACTGTCAACTCACAATTAATCATTTTTTCAGACCAATGCTATTTTATAGTCATCCACGATTGGATAAAAATGCATTAACAAAATCTTAACTAAGGCTGGTAGTTCCCTCTTGATACATAATACCGTGTTTAACACCCACATTGTTACATTGCCTGGAATATTTCTCTTTCTCCCTATGTTATGTTTTGCCTCAACATGTTATTTGGTTGTTTTAAAGTCCCATGACTAAATGGCAAACTGCTGCTGAATTGCATCATTTTTCATGAGAGAGGAAAAGAGAGTTTGAAATGGTGCCTGCACAGCAGTGTGGTCTGAACAGAGCTGAACTGCCTCAGTCCAGAGCTCCCACAGCTAAGGACAAAGACAGCCAAACTGTTCCAGGTGGTATTCATCCAAGATTTGAGATTACAATCCCCAAATGTTTGTCATGGGCTCCGACAAGGTTTATTCTGTGGTCCTATTTGTCTTTGACTTCTCCACGTTGGCATGTCAACCTAAGCAAGCATCTCCTCACCACGCTGTTTTTTGCCATGTTGACATTCAAGATCTTTGTGCCATGCTGTCTTGCTTGACACTGACATACTCTGCAGGTATGATCCTGAGTACAGCTGGGGCTTGCCTCCCCTGAGTTGGTAGCACAACTGTAATACAAGCTCTGCTCCTAAACTGGCTTCTGTCCTCACGTGCCCTCTAGATCAACTCACCTGGTGCTTCTAGGGTGAAGGTACGTAGCCTGTGAGACAGCAGAGGGATGTGAGCTGAAGCTCAAGTCCTGCTGAAGCTTGCATTACCTTGTAGTAACTCCAATAGCTGCTAATCCAACCACTTAGCTAATCCAGACACTGTGCTGCTAAATCACGGATCTTTCTCTGTCCTAGTGTTGATTCATACATCAGCTCTACAAAGTTCTCCAGACAGAAGTCTCTTTTAGTGCGTGACAGGTTTGTGCATACCTGGCTGTACTTTTCTACTAGCAGGAATGTCTGCAGAATAAATCATTGGGACCGTGAGGTGCAGAATATTGTCTATATTAACTTCTCAGTTTGAAGAACGATCTAAACTCAAGTCTGCACCTTGAGATGAAACTATTCAGCTACTGAGACACCTGTAAGTAACACAAAAGACAGGTCTCCTGAGAATCCAGACACAACAATGGGAGGTACTCTCATACCTACCCAGACAGATCCCGGAGACAGAAAGGTCCAAATGAATGGGGGGTACGTCCGTGTTTGTCCAGTAAAATGCGACTATTCAATTCTTTGGATAGACTTGGCATTTTGAGAACTTATTCACAGCTGCAATTTCTCCTTCCTCAAAATTACTGACAGTGATTGAAAATTGCTGAAGGACGATGGAGGAGATGGGTTACATGCTGACAACCAGGAATCCCACTAAGAGAGGAGTTAATGATCGTAACTCTTGGATGATTTACAAAGTAACACATGCAGAAGAAAGGGAAGCTGCCTGCTACAACTGTCAGTCACTATTACAAATGTAATTCCCTGGGGAATTTCTCACCCCACTTTTGTTCAAAGTGAGGCCAGGGCAAGTAAGGAGAAGAGAGGGCACCTTGGTGACACCAGCTTCTGTTTCCAGAACAGAGAACAACTTTTGCTACATGACTCTCATGAAAATCTTTGCTTGCAAGCAAAGAGAGACAGCTTGTGGCACACATCCATCTCCCTGGCTCCAGCAGCACAGTAGCCTGCTTTGATGCTCCAGACAACACCTTCTGTTGTGTCCTCATACTCTGCAGAACACCCCCCAGCTGCTCTGTGCCTCCTGATGCCTGAAAGCGGGGAAGATATGGGAGCAAGTGCCTACTTTCTGACCCACAGCATTTTATGCAGTGGCTGCTATTGAGAGGAAAATGAAGCTCTTTGACACTCATGAGTCTTTCCTCATTCTCCCTTTCCCCTATACCTTCCCCCCCCAGCCTCCCGACTTTGGGTAATGCTGTCTTGTCAAAGAAGGAAGGGCAGAAAGTGGCACCACAGCACCTTCCCCACCCCCACTAGCTGCCTGCAGCGCTGACCAAGAAGCATGAGAGGACGCTGGAAAAGGCAGGGAGAGGAGTGCTGGCTGGGCACTCGTCTGCCTCAACAGCAGCAGCAGCTGAAACAGTTGGAGCAGTGGAACTCCATTGGGGCAGGTGTCTCGTTTGTCCCACCGCTACTCAGTCCTAAGCTGGGCAAGGAAGAGCCCTGCTGCTCTGCCACTGACAGCCCCTGAAAGAGCAGAGCCCGGCACTTCTGAAACACAGCCAGGGAGCTCTGGGTGCTTATTTACTCTAGTGACAGATTTATGATGTGTAAACTATGAGAGCATTTGCCAACATGTTGAAAGGCAGCTGAGAGAGAGACCAGATGGCAAACCTTGGGTATGATGGCCCTGTCTTCCATACAGCTCGTCTATATGGCTGTCTGGAAGGACTTTACGTATTGCAACTTGTGCACCACAAGGCCTAGGACATGAGGTTGCCGCCACTTGCAGAAATCTATTCCTTGCAAAGAGTGTCTTAAACTAATTCATAAAACATCTACCTTCTAGCTACAAAGTTGTTAATCCTTCAGACTAACTAGCAGTTGAGAACAGAAAAGCTGGTATTTTTCACAGCCTTTCTAATCTTCAGTGCTATCCTCTGACTTCTCTGTCTTGAAAAAAAAAGTTGCAAACATATTCTGTATTATAAGCTTGAAAAAAAAGACTGTTCTTTAATAAACACAGATCAAAATGGGAACTGTCTCCTCTCAGCACAGCATTCTCTTTTTATTTCACAGCTTTTTCATAGCTGCCAAGTTTGAGGTTGTGCCACTCACAGCACCTATACACAGAGCCTGACTGCTTTTATGAGTGGAGTAACAGCACTCAGACATCCACAGCCAGCTGTAGTGTCCCTCTAAACAGCATGCAGAAAGGAAGGACAGGTAATCTACCTATCTACCCTAATCTACCCTATTTTCATTTAAAACTTTAGTCCTATCACCACAGCCCTACAT